ATGGGAGAATTCTGAAAATAAAATCTATGACCCTATTGGGTAAATATTCAGCTTGAATTTATGTTCAAACTTAAACACATTAAGGAAGATTTAGTGATGCCCCTATGGTACACAAATGCATCAAAGTGGTGGTATATGCGTCTTAGGAACATTTAGTTCCTAAGCCCTATTTAGTTTCCATAGCAAATTTTGTGCCTGTGGTAGAGTAACGAATTAAAATAAAGATGAAAAAGGAGTTGCTGGAAAAGGCTGTGATGTCAGAACCATTGACAGGTGTAACATTTTGCTGAAGTCTTTGGTCAATTCTGTGTTTACGGAGCAGAATCCATCCTAGATCACAACTTGGCACTTTGCTGGTGTTAGCTGGGGTCTGACTTATGCACTGCCTCCCTCCCACTCAGAATTCTAGCATGTACTGTCAAATTTGATTGAAATTGGTGAACATATTGGCTATTATGCATACAGGCACAGCTTAGTAAGTTTTGCATCCAATCTAAAAAAGCAAAGCAATCTTAAACAGAAGACTGGAAATGGAATCCATACAATCTTCTCACATTTGCTCTGGAAGTTGGAACAAAATAGAGGAACTTCAGGTCCAAGGAAGGAAATGGTGGCTGGAGCAAATCCATGGATTTGTAAAGAATTGCTCTGTTTTTGAATAAAGAAAACAGCCTGAAAGTCTTCAGATAAGAGTTACAGCCTTGAAATGAGGAAGTACAACCTTCAGTTATGGATGCACAGATCTGGTGTAAAGTAAAACAGAGATGGGAATCCAAAATGCTTCTCTTTAACTTGACATGCCCTATAACATCACCAACTCAGTGTGGTTTGTGCCTGTTGGTTTCTTCTCATTGCCTTCCCATTATTCTCATTATTGAATGACTGAACCATCAATTCACTGAAATAAACTCTCCCTTCATGCATCTCAGATGTGTAACCACAAGGTTGGGAAGAAAAATAGCACTTCCATATCATCAGGGCACTGAAAAGTACTGCAAACATCTTAGGGAAATGTAGATAATACAATGCCCCCCTGCTTAGATGCAGCTGATATTATTAGGTCTTTTTTGTAAAGTCAATAAACAGTAGCATGGCAGATTCATTGGACTGTCCATGCTACAAGGACAGAAACAATTGGTAGGAAGGGAAAAGGAATCTACACGGCAGATGGTGCCTCTCTTCTTCTATTTGTGTATCTGTAGAAATACCCCCAGGCTCACAAAATCTCTTGCTTTGCTGCTGACTGACACTTATTTGAAGCTAACATGAAGATTTTGTAACCAGCCTTGGACGGGAGAACAGAGAGAATGATTGAGCGAGCAGAGGGGATGGCATGCCAAATACCTGCAGAACACCTCATCTCTCCCCTTTCTGGGACCTGACAGACAGGTAGAGCCAGATCCAAAGCTCGGAACATATGGGGTCATCTTTTTTGCTTCTACAGGTGGCTGAGGGAGCCTCTGGGATGTGTTAGCCCACAGACGGGAAGTGATGGGGTAAGGCAGTGCTGGAAACACAGCCTGGCATGTGGGTCCTGTCCAGCTCTGCTCTGGGATCTGTCCTGGTGTTCCTGGCTCTGCTGCCATCTCAACTGCCCCTCGGGACTGGGAATCAGCTCCTGTGCATAGAGAAAAGATGACAGCCAGCTTCTGAAGCAGGGGCTGCATTTACTGTGCGATGATGAGAAGCTACGTGGAGAAGACAGGCAGTAGAAGCTGCGATGAAGCAGTGCTGGCAGTACTCCACCTTTCCCAGCAGGTGAGCTGTATCTTCCTTGTTTAATGATGGGAGATGGGGAGCCCAGGACCAGCCAGTCTCCATTCAGCCAAAGCCTCGGCTTCAACCTGACACATTTCTGTGTTGTTTTATTTGAGGAAATCAAGTGTGATCCAGGCAGGGCTGGAGGCACAGCAGCTGCTAAAAGGCTTGTGGTGTTGAGAGCTGCCCACCAGGGTGTCCTGAAAGGAGATGAAGGTCCAGGAGCAGGAGCTGGCAGCCTGGGGAATGCATGCACAGTAACTCCACAAAAGCAGAGGTACGTTTTCATTTGGTTTTCAGCATTGCTGCATCTGCAGCAGTCCCTACTGCTAACAGTCTCTGTGCCATAGTAGCAGCACCAGCATCCAGCACAGGGACTTGGCCCATCTGAACACTCACCTCCTAGGCAGGAGGAGTGCATCAGCTGGAGATGGAGCAGGAAAGCAGGATTTGGAGCCACAGATAGTTTTTCATCCAAAATAAGATTTAGATGAATTTAACCCATCTCTGACATTGCTCCATAAAAGGGGGGTCACACTGTTCTGCATGCTCAGATGGATTCAACATGGCTTAGGGGAACATGCACATCCACCATGGCTTCATCCTCTGTTTCTGGAGATAGGGAGCTGTGACAGCAATCATTCTTGGTCAGTATGCTCAGAGGTTTATTGCTATTTAATTTTCAGCTCTGCAAAAGTGGTTACAAACGTGAAACTTTGTTTTACTCGTGACTAAAAGCAACATATGATTACTATAACATTTGGACAAAAGCATCAGTAAAAAAGAAAAGCAGCATATGAGGCAACATATGGTAAATATGTATTTAGAAGCACAGAAAGTAGGCAAACTCATTTGGGTCAAGATTTAATCAGATAATGTTTGGTTTAGATTCAGCTCTAATGCTACTTAGGAAGCACATTACATTGGAATCGGAATTTTAAACTCGGTTGATAGCAAATGAAAATACAAAGCAAGATAAAAAAGAAAGAATTGGATGATTTATGGCTTGGCAAATTTCTATTTCTTTGACAACCAGAAGACCAAGTCTAATTAAACTGTACACATCAGCTTTCTCCACATTGCTTGCACAAGGCTAGGCAGGGATCATGAGCATGTGTAATGTGGTTAATAACTAATATCATTTAGGTTTATTATAGTCTATTCATTAGTTTTCAGATTTCAGTGAGCTATCATCTTACACTATGAAGATGCCCATGAAATGGAGAAGAGGAAGACCGTGACAATGCTGGAACTGCTTCCTTGTGTTAATGGCAGTTCTTATGATTCAGAGGGGTTGGCAGCTCCTGCTGGCTTTTAAGCACATCTTGGTACCAGAGCTGCAACATAAGCCCATCCACCAGCATAGCTTTGCACTCATGCTTTCTATCACCTCCTCTTGGTGGAGTACATGTGTTGTGACTTTTCATGATTCCTCCATTTGACCTCTGTTAGAAAGTGATGAAATATTCACAGAATATCTTTCCTGTTTGGTTCTGAACCCATCTCGTACTGGTAGGCATGACTTCATCCATTTGGTGCAAACTCAAGTGAGAGCTTAAGGGCATGATACAGATCATGGGAGAGGACAGAGTGCACGAAAGTAACAGCACAAGACATGGGATTATTAAGCAGGAATTTATTTCCTTGGGAATCAGATTTAATTTAGGATCAGGCACCTGACGCCTCTCCCTCTCTTCCAGGGTCAGTGTTTGGTACAGAGTCTTTAAATTTCCTGCATATTCAAGATCTTACACATGAAGATCTTGTCAGTTTGTATCCCTGGAAATGAAATGAGAGTAGTTTGAGGTTTACTGTTTTTTTTCACAAAGGCACCAGGTGGCTGGGAGTGCAGCCGTAGTGCCCAATTAGCAGCAAGCAGAGCAGAAGGCTGCGTGTGAAGGAGAGAGCACAGCACAGCGCTCAGTGAAGGAAGCCAAGCAGATGAAGCTGTGGCATGGAGCCCCTCCAAGTGCAAATCAGAGAAAGAAAGAGGGGGCAAAGTGCTGAGGAAACCCTGGCACTTCTCCCAGGCAGTCACAGGGACCTTACACACCTCTGGTTATAAATGCAAACTCATCCCTTGGCAGGACACACGCTTTGCCTCAGCCTCTGTGTTGTCTTTCCTAATGAAGGCTGTTGTCCACAGGAGAATGACTGCAGTAAACCCTCGGGAACTGTAACCCATTAAAACATATGGCACCGCTCCTTCGCATCTGCTCTGCTGTGGGAGCATCAGTTCTCACACACAATCCTCAGTGAAGCTGGAGCTGGCAGCATGAGCTTGGGGGACCTATAGCTTTTGGGGAAAACAATCTGCTTTCCTGGTTTTTGGGCCATATCTCCTAATTCCATCAGATTATGGAGTTAGTGAGAGTAGGGAGGCTATAAGCTAATGCCTTTCCCTTCAGAGTCGGGGGGATTTTCCCCTCTCCTTCTCCTTATAACACAGAGATGTGATGCAGTTTGGCATGGATTCTGAGAACCAGCCTTTTGTGCAAGGAGCTTCTCCAGAGTCCTGGGAGGAATGAATGTGTCCAATCATTTTTTAAAAATGAATGAAAACAACAGACTTCAGAAGGGCTTGGGACTTCTGTTACGATAGTCACCAACAGGTATTAAAAAGTCTGGCTCTACTGCCTGACCAGGTGATCAGGGTAACGAGAAGGGAATATGTCCAATTTTAACCAAACAAAACAGAGGGCTCAGGTAGAGGATCACAGAGCTCTCAGACACTGCATATTGCCTCTCAGAGTACTGCCAATAGCCGCAAGCCAATAAAAGCAATTACTAGAACATTTTCCCTTTTCTTCTTGCTGGTGATTCAGACGAGTCCCTGCAGCACAAGTGATTGCTTCCATTTGCATTAATAGCAACAAAATTCGAACGTGTTAATCTGAGCATCACCTTTGCTGGTCACAAGAGAAAGTACAAACTTTTCCAAAGAAATAGCAACCCCCACGAGCTCCATAGGGGATCCAGAAACTGCATTTAGCTTGTGATTTCTCCTGCTGTGGGGCAGGTCCCATGCCTCCCTCCCTACACACCCTCCATTCTCCCTGCTGCCAGCTTAATGGTGATCTTCTGCTTATCTCATGCCCATACATCTGCTGTGCTCCCCCATCAGAGCTGTCATCTTGGATGGGGTAATCCTCTTTGGGTGCCTCAGACTTTAATCAAAAGGTCACCTTCAGAATGCATGAAATTCAGCATCTCTCAGCAACGAGGGTAATTAATCAGCGTTTCAGTTTAAAGGACTCTCTCGTTCACCCATGACAGCAGGAGCAAGGCAAAGGAAAACGACTGAGGAGCTGTGACAGATGATCTCAAACACAGCAGAGTTACTGACAAGAAAAAGAAGCCTTGAAAACAGGTTAGCAGGCAGCCAAATTCTGCTGCCAGCGTTAACTGGCACAACCCAAAAGAGTATGGAGTAGGAACAGTCCTTACATTTTACATGCTCCCAAGAGCTGGCTCTGTGTGCGAACACAGCACAGCCCATGTGTCCTTCAGCAAAATGCCTCCATTTCTCCTCCCCACGTGCCACCACTCACGAGATCCCAAGTGCAGATCCCCAGCCTGAGGCACAGTGATCTGCAAGGAGAGGGGGAAATAAAGCAGAAACAAAACCAGAGTGTCAACAAATGTGGCAAAATGAGGAGTTAAAACCACGGGGACAGCTTCACAGTGCCTCCGGTGATTTGCTGCTGCTTGCTAGAATGTTCCCTCGCTGCCATCTCACAACTGCATCTGATTAAATGTTGCTGTCTGGCAATGAGTCTAAATAATAATTCATAACTTACAAGGAGGCTTCCTAATGACACACGCTGTGTTCCCATGGTTCACTCGGTGCGATGCAAGGTGAGCAGGGTGCAGGACCTCTTGGCTCAGGTTTTCCTTCTCTCACCCAGCACAACTTCAGAGCCCATGAGATCAGTTGGGCGATGTGCAGCTCCTCCTCCAGCCTGCAAGGCAGCCCTTTCCTCAATCAAAGTGCTGTGTGTGTGATAAGCACGAGGAGTTGTTTAAGTATCACTTGCCAGCGCCTGCCAAACAAGAAATGGATTTGCTTTCTGCATTCAAGTGAATTTTTATTTTTGTCAATCTTGCCTCTCTTACAATACATTCCCCTGTGAAATGTGTTGAGCAGAGATAACCAAGCATAATATATCCTGGGGGATTTGCAGTGGCAAGAAAACAATCTTGATATTCACGATGAAAAATGTCAAACAGTTTTCTGCCACTTATAGCATCAAATGATGATGCTTTTAGTATTCTTTCTGTGGAGAGTACAATATGAAAAATACCAGACCATGAGAATTTGTGTATGCGTGTTTCTATTTACCACTGATCAGATAAAAGAAAGCAATGAGGAATCACAAACAAGCCTCATCATGATCCCTGCACACTCTGGGATTTCTTTTCTTTCTTGTGTTTTTTCCTCTTCTAATTACAGTGATATTACTCAAATCAGCAGGTGAGAACACAGCTCCTAACACTGCACACAGTCCTTCAGGGAAACCTTGGCAGAGCAGGGTGTGATGGCAGCAGGGGGGCAGGAGGGACCTGCAGGACAAAGGGAATGGGATGTAGGGAATCAGTTCAGTTCTCTGCGGTTAAGAGATCCCCTGAGTATATGTATTTTTCTTCCTTTCTTTATTCTTTCTAGACCATAGTCTGATCATGGCTTAGAAGAGCCAATGAATAATTGGCAGGGGTTGGAACTGGATGATATTTAAGGTCCCTTCCAACCCAACCCATCCCACAATTCTGTGATTCTGTGAATAGGGAAGACACAGTGGGAGGAAGCTTTGCCCACCCAAGGGGACTGATACAGGAGAAGAGCCACTGATGACCAAAGATGATCAGTAGGAATTTAAGGGTGTGAAGGAGCAAAAATGTGACAGCATCTTTTCTATCCCAGCAGCTGGATTCACCATGTTATCTGGCAGCTTCTTTTGTTGGGATAGTGCTTAGAAAACCCAAGCCACTAAAATGAAGCCCATTTTCCAAACGTGTTACTGGCCTTGAGGAATGCCCTGCATTAGGTGCATCTCTTTCACACTGCCTTTCTAAGAAGACAAGTACTACTTGCCAGTCCCAGGGATATTTCTGCAGGTGCTGCAATATAGGTGGCATAAGAAATGGGTGTGAGTACTGAGAGTTTTACTTAATATGCTTGGCTCTTACGTTATATTAAGACAAAATTTAGCTTTGATCTCACTTCAATCTTTTCCAGAGTTTGGGTGATACCACTCTGAGCCCATTCACTGTCATCACCTGGCTTTTAAGCACGCATTTACCCAAGGGGAGAGCTACTGGGTGGTTTTAGGCTTCCAATTGCCAATGGCTGTGTTAAAACAGGGCTAAGGGCAGCGTCGTGAGATGCATTTACCCACAGAGATGCCAGCAAATGCACCGCCCAAATTTCAGGCCTTTATCTCTCTAGAGAAAAGCCATCCTTCAGAGATGGGGAGTTCTGGAGTGCAGAGGAAGGCAAGGAGAGCTCATAATGATATTGCTGTCAGACCAGAGCGCAGAGAAAAGGTTAACGTGAGTGATTGCTCTCTAGTGTCTTATTAATCCTTGCTTTCAATTATAACCTTCGATTGGCTGCAGGTAGGAGAAGATATATTTTCACTTCTTCAACAGCTGTTTAGAAGTTTTAATTACAACGGCACATTAAGAGACCCTGTCCCAGATCACTCAGTTTGGGGAATGTGTGCAAAGTTTTGCTCATTTCACACCACATATTGTGCCCAGATTTGTCTACATAAACAGGATGTTACAGAAGCAAATGTGGTAACGCTCCGTGAGCGCTTCCTGCTTAATCCATTTTAGCATTTGCATGCTCTCAGTTGGTTTCCACAGTAATTACATTTCCATTAGCTTTAATTCATGACTTGATCTTCCATTTGCAACTTTCATTCTTCTTCCATGTGTGTGCATCCACATTCCCGCTCATGTTTCTTGCAACGTGCAACCAAAAGCAAAACTCCAGTGCCAGAGGTAGGAAAAGTGTATTTCTGCAGTGTGAAATTCCCAGAAGAGGCTGACGCTGGGGGAAGGATTCATGTGCCTGAACTACACCATGCATTGCTTTGGACCCCATCTGCCACATGGCATCTGAAACATCCCCCGAAGGGCTGGAAGACGTGACAGAACACCTATGGGACCACGGCCCCAGGGCTGGTTTCATGGAGGACACTGCACATTGCTGTCATGGCAGTTATTTCTGAGCAAACCCAGGGGTGATGCAGGCCTCCTGTTTGTCTGTTTTCCTGATGGGGCTTTGGAGAGGTGGAAGTGAGCTGTCATTGGCCTGGTGTGTGTGGCAATGCTCCTTGCCCTTGGTGCTGGGGGCTGGAAGCTGCTCAAATCCATTTTTAATCGAGCTACGGGGTTTTTATATGAATTCCATAAAGCCTGGTAACCCAGTCTCTGAAAAAGTAGAGGAGCTGCTGTGAACCTGGGTTGGAGAAGCTACAGTAGTGTTGCTTTAGAAACCAAAGCTGACACAGATGCAGTGCAGGCAGGAAAACCCAAATCCACAGAAGCTCTGTTTTAGGCTGAAAATACATGAAAAAAAAGAAAAAGATGCACTTGAAAAGAATTGGGCTTTCAGGTCTGGCGTCGATGTGCTGTTGCAGAGGTATGGAATCATCAAGGCTGAAACCAACCATCACTACCGTGTCCACTAAACCACGTCCCTCAAAATGGATATAAGAGGACATACTGCATTTGAATGAAGCTCATGGTTTGTTCGGTAGGGGTGGTCAAGTGGAGCGCTGAGGCCCAGTGCCTTTCTCACCACTTCCCCCTAGAGGCAATGGATGCCGAAAGAATTGCTAAAGGTAATTACTTGAAAATAGTTTTTGGAAGATTTTTTCCCCACTTCAGTGAAACAGAAACAAAATTCAATCAGGTTGCTCCAAAAGTAACGCCTCCTATTTATTTCCATCGAACACATTTCAAAGATTCATATTATTTTGCCACAGGGAAGGGAAAATCTTTACAATTGCTATGGGGTATTGGGGAAAATCTTGCTTCATTTTGATACTAATGATATACAAAAAGCAGCAAACCCTCACTTTCCAAGAATCTTTACTTGTTCCATGCTCATATCTCTTTGCCACTAAAAATCATGTAAAAATGCCGAGCATTTCATAAGGACAGAGATGAGATGTGCCTTCTAGATAACACAGCATATTTGTATCTTCAGGCAAAGAAGCATTCACAGATACGAGGCCCTGCTAATGAGAACAACCCCGTGCTTAGTGGGAATGTTAATCAATTAGACACGCAGAGCATTAATGATGTTTTCTTGCCTAATTAGATTAACAAAACATGAGCACAGATGCTTTTTTCCCCTTGCAGCCATCCCAAGGAGCACCACCCATCTGGCCCCGGGATGCTCCATGGGGAGATGTTTCCCCGGGCACCCCTAGGGCTGGAGGAGGTTCTTCCTGCAGTGAGGACACCCCCAGCACCCAGGGGCTCGGTTCCATTAGTTGGGTAAATCTCAGGGAGGACGTCTTGCTCATTGAGCATTAGTAGGATCCCCAGGCGGAGCTACTGGAACTCCAAGACAGTGATAATAAAAGGGCTATGAAAAAGAGAGAAGGCTTATCTCTAACAGAGGAGAATCATTTGATTCAGAGTGAGACAAGAAGCAGATAAGAAGCCAGAAACACTCACAAGTCCAGAATAACAGTGACCTACAAAGCATGGGATTCCTGAAAAACACTGATAAACTGCCCTGAGACCTCATCAGCTTTCCTCCCTGTTATCAGATTCACACAAAGGCAGGTAGCACATGCTCAGTGCCTGGCTCCCCAGAGGAGAGAAGAAACGAAGGAAATCTGCTGCACTGTTTTCGTGGAGGGAGAAGTCACAGAGCAGATCCAAGCACAGTGTTAAAAGGATTGCACAAAACCAAACGACCTCAACAGCTGCTGGTAGGGAATTGTGGATTATCATTAAATAAATAAATAAATGTTTTAATATGCGGTTAAATAAAGATTAATCATCCATCATCAAGCCCCAGGTTGGCTTTCTTTACTGAATGGCTGCAGGGGGAGCTGGAGGTATCCAGGAACCCCTAATTGACCCCAACCAGATGTACAAAGGGGCAAGCTTAACTGCACCAGTGATCTTTTGCAAAGTGTCTGAGTGCTTTGGTGTCATGCTCTGCTGTTCCAGGCAATGACAGCCATCAGCTGGCTATGCACAGAGGCTGGCCTGCCTGCCTGCTGCTTTCGGCACCTTGTGCAACCACAGAGCACCCACAGCCCATACTTCAGTTGCCACAGACTCGTTCTGCAGTGAACTAAGTTAATTGCCATTAGCTGTGAGACCACAGGAGGTCAGGGATTCTATAGCAAAGATGACAGCACAAATACACTCTTTTCAGTGCATGCATTAAGATCTGCGTTATTGACTTTTTTTCTTTTTCCTTTTTTTTTTTTTCCCAAGCAAACACAAATATTACTCTGAATTTCCTTCCCATGCTCCTGGGCAGATCCACCACATCCCCAGAGCACACTGGGCCATGTTGCAGAGTTCTTACTTGCACGCAGAGATGGCCAACTCCAACTTCTCTTACATGGTCAGATCACAGGAACACTCCAAATTCCCATTGCTGCATCATGTCTGCTCTGGACAACGAAGAATAATTGCAGTGATCTACATCAGCTGAGGATCCACTCAGTACCCACCAGCAGCAAAATGTCACAGATTTGCTTCCACCCTTAGGAATGGAGGCATGAAATGATGCAGGTAGGTTAGTTTTCCTGCTGAATGTGTTTTCCATAGCTCTTGCTTATATGGCTGTTAGATTTTATCCATAATGCCTCAAGGTCTGAGGCAGCTCATGGTATTTCATTCTACTTCTGAGGTGGAAGGTTTTATCTGTGCTTTCACAGGTTTTCAAAACTTCACTCTGCTCAGGACAGATTTTGTACTCCTGAGCCAGGTGTACAGTTGAGTAAGAGACTGCTTTTTTCTTTTAACTTATTTTTTTGGCTTTTATTCTGCTCCAAATGAAATTATTTTGGCTGAAGGAAATGTCGGCACATTTTGCTCCTTTGAATCCCCACGGATTTGGGATGTAGTGCAGGACCCCACATTGAGGCTTAGGATTTTTACAGGCAATTTCTGCCTGTCTTCATCATAAAGTGAGCTGAAAGGCTCGAACCAATAACGATCACAAGAAAATCACATGGGGAAAATATTAAGGAAGAAACTGCCTTTTGATTGATGCTTCAGCGCTCTCCATCCCTGCCTGGGAAGGAAAGGCTTCGAATACAAATTAATCAGCTTCCATAAAGATAATACAGCTGCTCTGTTTGGACCCCCATGTGCTGCATCACTTCCTGATTACGAATGATATTTGCTTTCCCTGGATATACCTCTGATATCCTCTTCTAGATGCCAAAAAGTTCAATTTGGACATTATTCCGATCTTTTAAAATATATTTAAAATTTTGGTAGTGCCAACCTGGAATCCAGTGCTCTGATCTGTTCCTTGAAGCAGCCAATGTTTGCTGTTACAGCACAGGGATGTGGGCAGCACTGGTGATGCTGAAGCCAACTCCACAGTGCTGCTGTCTCCATTGCCATCTAGTGGCACCCAGAGCTTGCTTTCTTTTGCTGAAAACAAACAAACAAACAAACACAAAAAAATCCTGTCAATCCGGTGGGTTCTCCACCACCACCCCATTAAAAAGTGCATTTTAATTATTTGCTGCTCCCACTGACAGAGCCCTGCAAGGTACCACGAGGGATAGGATTTGCCTGGCCTCTCTGCGCACTCCAGGATGGGACAAACCAGGGCAGGAAGCACTTCAAATCCATCTCTGAATCACAGGTACAGCTTTATTTGCTGCTGTTTTAAAACCTCCAGGAAGTTTGCAAACTCTTTGCTGGAGAAGAAAGGCTCATTGACTGCCCGGGTAGTTGCCTACAACAAATAGCGTGCGGCTCTTCCTGCTCAGAGCCCCTTGCGTGCTCCCATTTGTTTTACCTCCCTGTGACATTTCCTGAATACCAACTGCTGTTTGTATTCTTGTGCAGTGTGAATCATCCCTTCAGCAAACGACACAGGACTTTGCCCTCATTTACGTAGCGTGGGTCTGGGAGACGTCGTGTGGCTGCAAAGGGTCACTGCGGGTACGGATGTGGCAGCAGAGAATTTTCCCTCTTGGTCCTTCCTCAGCAACCAATTAGCTTATTTTGCCTTCAAAAGCTATTATCCTCCCTAGAAGGAGGTGTACATCACCACAAGACTCACACCCTCAGGGTCTCAGTGTCACCTGCTGTCCCACCAGTTGGATGGACCCTGTTAGGCTGATGGAAACACACACAAGCAGAAATGCCCATCACATTTCCAGGCCTTTTATAGCATTATAATACTTCATATGGGTCCAGAAAACATACTCTCAAATATTTTGTTCGAAGTTACCTGTACACCTACATAACTCCTACTAGGAGTGTCCAGTTACTACTTCCTGAAATCCATCCCTCACCAGTGCCACAGCATCAGGATAACCCCCCTCTCCCACCCCACCCCAATGTTTTATTTTGCCCTGGAAACAAGAGGTTCAGCAGATGAGGCTCATTTAATAAGCACAAGGATTGCATTGTGATATCTGTATATATATTTATATATTAAAAAAATTTCTACCTTCATAAATACATCATACATAAAACATGTTCCCAAAATACATTCATGCGTTTTCCCCTTTTGAGATCCCTGCTTGTACCCAAAATATCTCTAAGTTGGGAAAGGCAAAGAGGGAAGAGAAACTCATGGTCTGCAGGTGCCTCAAAAACCAGGCCAGGTTGTGAAGAAGCCTTTGGTGTCTGGGTGATGCTGAGGTCAATTCCTGCATCTACGTGTCCAATCCTGACCCTCTGGGACAGCAGGGCTCTCCTGCATTCTGTACTCGTTGTGCCCTTCATCATCATACTGCACCAGCTGACAATGTTTAAGCAGCCACAGGAAAAAAAAAATGCTCATTACATGTCTGCTTACGAAGGCATAAATATACAAAATATACAAAACAACCACAAACCAATTCCAAGCAGCACCTGGCACAGAGCGGTGCCAGCAATGCAGCTCAGTAACATATGTCCTGTTCAACAGAAGATTCAGTGCAGTACCTCCAGGGCTGCCCACAACCCTCCCCACCCTCCACAGCTGTACCTGAACCTTGAGGCTGTGCAAATGCAGGCAGACGAAGCCTCTGACCCAACGGGGGCTTTGGAGAAGCCAGGGGAACTCCTGCTGAATGCTGAGATTCCCCCCTCTTCACCCCTGATCAGTATTGCAGGTGCACACTCAAAGCCATTTTGGAAACGCTGCCCTCTCTGCCTGAAGCACACACTGGGCATAGGTCAGCATCTCCTTTCCGCAAAGCAGTCTGTCATTATGGTGAGCTCTCCCTTAAGCTAGCAGTTGAGAGAAAAATAAATCAATTCTGACTTTTTGCATGTACCCAAAACCAACATTGTACAAGGCAACCGAAGAGAACCATCACATAGCTCCGTATCTCACATCCTCCTGCATCCAACAAACAGCAAGAAACACAATAAAGTTTTGCACAGTACATTGCAAAAAGGCGTCACCTCTCAACAACACAACAAAAAAATGAAGTGTCACCACGATGCAAACCCTGCAGGAAACAAGGCAGCGAAGTACAGTGCTCAGCAGCTCCCAGGGATCTCTGTCTGTAGTGTAGTGATGGATTTGTTGGACAAACCTCATCCCAAACCTATCTCCCATTGCACAGGAATACCAGCTTGCATAACCAGATGCTCTGCTTCTAAACACAAAGGTTGGAGGATGCCAGCACGAACTGATGTGAAGCTGTGTGTTGCAGGAAGACAGTGCTGGCTGGGCTGTCTGCTTTGCATCCAGGAGTTTAAGGGCCAGTCATCTTTGCAATGCAGATTGCAGGACAGCAGGTGTCTTTTCAGGCAAGGAAGTCTCATGGGAAGTTTTGCTACAGTTGGCTTGACAACTGAGATATTAGGGACCGGATCCTCTAGTGGCTTCAACCCCACTCACTCCATTGGAGTTACTGGTGTCTGTTTCCACTCATGGAGATCATGGTCCTTGCTTGTCACAGACAGAATAAAGCTACGGTAGCCCTTTCTTTAAATAAAATTAAATAACTGCATATTGCATCAGCACGCAACTTGGAAAGTGCTTCTGCTGTTCAGAAAATAGCAAGCACACCAGTGATTAATTAAATTATTTCTCTTGAAGTAAAAAAAAGTGATAATGTTACTAATAATTAGAAACTTTGGGGCTGCACAATGTCTTTTTGTCGTATTTTTGAGACTGAGAAAGTCACTGGCATGTGCACAGCCTCATATATCCTCCTCAGCTGGGAGCGAAGGTTTGTTTTCCTGGAGGTTCCCATTGCCATTTTCTGATGTGTCTGAGCTGCCGGGGGCTGATTCTGTCGGCGGTGGTTTGTACAGCACACAGGCAATGGTGAAGAAGGTTGTCCCAAGCACCTGCAGCCACCAAGATCACAGAATCATAGAATCACAGAATCATGGAATCATTAAGGTTAGAAAAGACCAAATTGAGATCATCAAGTGCAACCATCAGCCCATCCCCACCGTGCCCACTAAGCCATGTCATCAGTGCCACATCTGCCGTGTCTGGAACACCTCCAGGGATGGTAACACCTCCACCTCCCAGTGCCAGTGTTTGATTGCTCTTTCTGGGATGAAATCTTTCCTTATATCCCATTACTTCCTGTTCTCCCCATAAACAGATGCCCGGCCCTCAGTGGGTACAAACCAGAAAAGCAGAGCTTCAGTGTGCAAAGGATTTTGAAAGCCACTTTGTCACAATAACTGCTAAACACTGATCTCTACATCAAGTGCCTACTTGGGAGCAGTTGAAACGATGGCTTTCAGCTAATAAATAGGAATCACACAGCTATGCTCTCATATTTTCTAGCAGTGATCAGGAAATGGTTATTTACAGTGTGCCCACAACAGCATCATTCACTCACTAACACTGCAGTTATATACTTTACTCCATTTTTTAGCAAAAATCATTCAGTAACTGTTCGGTGTTTGGATTTTTCTTATGGCTCAACAGAAGCTGTAATGGAATGGAATGGAATGGGAATTTAAAAGAACAGTGCCTGGAGCACCATTACCTGCTGAGAAGCAAGGGAAGCTTTTGCCTTCCCTGAGGATACTTCTTGTCTTAAGGTCTGATTTGGCTTTGGAAGGGGGCAGATGGGCATAGCACAGTTCTGTAAGACTGTCCCCCAGCATGAGCTGCTGCCTCTTGAACACTGCTTGATCAGAGTGTGAAACACCAACCTCACCTTGTAGACCAGCCCGGTGACCAGGGTGTAGCGGCTCATGGCTGAGTTCTGGTACACATAGCAGGAGCCTTGCTCACCACACTGGTCCTGCCAGAGCAGGCAGGATTTGTCGATCATTGACCCAAAGGCAATGGGACCAGGGATACCTCCTGTGGGAAGACAGAACCAATCCTCAGACTGGGCAGAACCTGTGCACCAGCCTTGCAAGACACAAGGTGCTAGCAGAAATGCACCAGGCGCTGTGTCTACTATGATGCAGCAAACTCATCCCGCAGACATTCAGAGATGTGCCCAAAGCATACTGAATTTCAAGAAGTGAGAGTCCAGTCAGTTGACTTTTGACCCTGACCTACTACTTGCACAAGTCCCAAGGAGGGCCTTCAATGCCTCTGCTCCTTCTTCTTAAAATAATGACACACTGCCAGGACATTCTCCTTTGCTCCATCTGTGCTGCGTTGTGGAATCCCTCATTCATTTTGCAAACACTATGCAAACAAAATTAAGTTTCTTTTCTGAAGGATGGCAAGCAAGGGAAAACATCTTCCACTCAGTACCTCATGTCCTACCCCTTCCACTTCCAATCCAACCTCTTTTGGACATGTAACAGTGTGGGGCACGCTCTTCAAAGACAACAGACCACACAGTTGTGCTGTGCAACTTTGTACCATACCTAGTGTTCGGACCACGATCCACTGGATCCCAAGTGCAAATGACTTTTGCCTGTCGGAGACGCACCTGGGGAAGAAGAGGGCAGTTCAGCAGCTCCACCAGGCTGCATGGCACCAACTTTCCCATCGTGCCTTCACTGGGGCTTGTGCCAATGGGGTAAAATGGAGGTGGGATAACTGAGGCTTCTTGCAGAGGATCCTGGGCTTACCGTAGCGTTGCAGTCAGGGCAGGAATGCTGCTCAAGAAGGTGAAGAGGATCACCACAAACATGAAGAAGAGCAGGAGAGTCCTTTTTGCACAAGGGGAAGTGCATTTCCCTGCTTCTGCCTCACCGGGGCCAAGCAGGAGAGTTTTCTCAATGCAGCTACACTCACGGTAGACCTGGGAAAGAAAGGCTGGTGACCAGATTGCTGGGGAGAGCATGGTGATAGTCAGGACTGGGTTTTAAAAAGAAATGAATTTGGAGAGGGCAGAAAGCAGCTGGTTTTGCTCCTGGTGTGGACTGAAAAAGAAATCAGGCTGTGTTCTTGATGAACCTACTTCAAAACAGATTATTAAATAATAGAAATCAACTTTGCCAGGCAGCACTTCAACACTGAATGTCATCATTACCTATCTTGAGCATTCTCCTGTGTCTATAAGCTGTATTCAGGAAGTATGTGGAGGTGCATCATGTGCACTGAACACCCAAAACAACTCTCATAAGCACTGGCTAGGAATTAGATGCTCACCAAGCTTCCCTCCTTCCCTGGGTGACATCCCATAGATCTCAGTGCAATTTGACCCAGAGTGGGGCAAAATCAAAGTTGGGCACATTGAGGGAAGTAAAGCAGGGTGACCTCCAGGAACCTTTTAACATCCTTCCAGGTGGTCCTTGAGCACATCCTCCATCTGCTCTGTGCTGTCTCTACCTTTTACACTAACTTGCAACAAAGCCCAAACCTGAGTATGCTTTTGCAGAGCCAGCCAGAACATTGCAAAGACAGTGTGCTGCTGCCTTATCAATACACAGTGCTGTGGGACATACCTTCTTGCCATTCCGGAGGTTTTCAGACACTTTTCTGCATCCAGCATGACAAGGAGAGTAATACATAACATCATCACTTCCGCAGACAGGGCTGTAGGTCTCCTGCAGGCATCCGCACTCTGCGTTGCACACTGCTGTCAGGTTCAGCTGGCCACCAGGCAAAGTGCTGAAGGAAGCATGGGAACAGTCAGTGGGGAGAGCCAGAACGGTTCTCCAGGATGAAAAAGGGTAAAGAATGAGAAGGAGAAGAGGAGAAATAGAAGATGCAAAAGAGCTCTGGAGAATGTAACACCAGGCCTGGGAAGGGTTTCATCTCACCTATTGTAGCCAGGAAACAGGAACTGAGCTCTGCAGCTACAAAGGATGCTTTAGTGACCAGATCAAAAGGAGATATCTACTTTTGAACAGGAGATCCCACTTTCAGTCTATACCACATTGTTTGTACAGGGGGAGATCTTGTGAAGACCACAGAAGAGTAGACAGACTGAGATGTTGCTGCTGCTGACCCTCTTGCTGGCTTACACTCCCAGTTAAATTCCAAAGTTTGGATATATGTATTCTGGGGATATGGTTCTCACCCTCAATATCTGCCTCTAAGACTGACTGGACATTACCTTCCATCTCTAACCCTAAGCAATGGCCAACATCAAGACCATGTGTTTAGCACTACATTCCAACTAGGGCCACACAGTACAAGACATGGTTATTACCTTCCGTTGTACATCTGGGTTACTCCTGCCATTGGCATGTTAGGGCAGTGAATGAAAAAAATGAAAATAGCTAGCAGACTTGACACTGTGCAAAGTAAACACAATTTGATGATTCCTGAGCAGCGGAGTTTAAATTTATTCACAAGGAATCCTCCTAGGAATGTGCCTCCACCTCCAGCCGGCACAACCAGATAGCCTGAAAAAGAGAGACAAAAAAAAAGCACAAACAGATTTAGAAATATCAGTGAAGAGTTTCTCATTTATCATACATGCAGTGTGTCTGCATGAGAATAACCCTTTGGTTGTTGAGTTGCTTTTTGGTGGGAGTTTAGGAAAATTTGCTACAGTAAGTGAACTTCCACAGTTCCTAGGGTAATGTGGCTTGAACCTGGTAAGGCAAATTCTTTTCCCTCTAGATCTTAAAAGAGACAGTTTAAGGAGCACATCGTGAATACTGATGCTTATTTGGAACCCATGGAACTCAGATCAAACTTTCTTGGTCTGGAATGCAAGAGTTAATTGAAGATCTTCCCATTTTCTGATAAAGTATTCTTGTTAGAAGCACTTGTTAACGTTGCCTGGTTATGTCCAAGAAGGAATTGAATACAGGTTTTCACCTTTCTCCAGGTAGTGACAGTGGCTACAGGAGTGATGCATTTCTTACTGATGTCAGTAGATAGAGCTCTGAAAACACACTTGGTACAGACATGCTGATAGGAAATGATCCTCACTGCCTAATAAGTGGAAGATGATTACCTTTCTGTAAATGAATGGCAAAGTGTGTTTGTCTCATTCTACATGAAAACTGAAAAACATAGCAAAACCAGGTTTCCTTACCAAAAAGGGTAGCAGCTTCAGAGGCACTTAAACTAAACTGAGACTCCAAGAACTTGGGTCCAAATGTGGACATCCCAGCAATGAGAGTGGCTTCTGTCGCTCCTGCTAAGCAGAGGAAGACGAAGGTGGGATTCTTCAGGAGCAGCAATACTGATCTGGGAAGGACAAATACACTGGAATTGAACTGCTGTGGCACATTTCTACTTCAGATATATTCCCTCCACATGTAAGACAGGGAAGCATCACACCAAACTGTATCCCATGGAAAGAAGAATCCCAATAGGAGCTTTTAAAAGAGCAGTGACATTCTCCACTTCAACTTACTGAGTTCTACCAGCCAAGGAAGGATGCAGAGGAGACCCTGACTTCTCCCCATTCGATTGCGTGTTGAGAATCAAGTTTGCCCTTGAACTCTGCATTATAGGACACCTCTTGCATGTCTACTGCTGTTGCTACTACAGGGCAGCCAGACTCTGTGTGGTCTTAAATGCCCTCAGTCACAGGCTTACTTTCGCAGCTTTTATAGCCCCACCAACAGATGGATCCAAAGGAATCAGAGAAATGTCAGTCAAATAGCCAAAACTGGAGGGGACAATATGGGATTTTTCTCTTTGGACTTCATGAAGGCACCAGATGGGTCTACATGAGTATGGATAGGCAAATAAAAGCACTGTGTGTAATGTGATTTGCACTAAGGATGCCCACATGCCCACCACTTCTATTTGGGTCTTTTCAGTGGTAATTTACCAACATTTGGGTCCAGGATGCAAAGCATGTAATAACTTTCACTCCTAAATGGCAAAATTGTGGAGGGACTCTATTTGACACCAAATCTCAATCACTCCAAGGTTGTAGCAGTCCCTAATGGCAGTCATCCTGGGACTCCTGTGTGAAACATTTATGAGCTGGGAATAAAGCTGTGTTATACACCTATGTACACTTGTTTCTCAAGTGCATACATGTCCTCAAGAGACTAACAATCACTTACAAACATGTTTTTTTTTTGCAGCTTGTGGGAAATACCAGGCAAGTCTTTCTGTACAGAGAAGGCACCTCTAAAACACCTTATATCTCACAGGAAAACAGAAAGCAATCTTTCTCCCAAAGAAATGTCTAAGCATAGTTTTATGTGAAGTTTAACATCTAAGTTGAAACAATACATTTTGTTTTTGACCTACTGGGATTTAGTAGACAGCCAGAGATATTCATGAAAAATTGCCGTATGTCATTTATATGCAGAAAGATGATCCAGCAATAATTCCATCTCTGAGACACAGAAACACCCTCAGGCACATGGAATGGCCTCAATTATTTCCCACTATCTCGGATATTGGACTAAGAGAACTGCTTTGGAGGGAGCATTTTGTAACAAGCTTGAAATTCTGCCACATAACTTGCCCCAGGTTTAGCCCTGACCAGTACAGCAAATCATCTTGTTTTTGGGGTATGGCACAGCCTCATCACACTGCAGCAGCAGCAACTGGGACCCAGGAGGATGCTCACTGAACTGAAAGGCACTGTCAGTTAACAGCTACTGCTTGGGAAGAAATGTGAAATGGGAAAAAATCTACTGCAGAACCACCAAGTGTGTGCGGTGCTCAGCATTAGATATGCTAGGAATTCAGGGATTTACCTGGTTTAACCCAAATAAAGTGGACAATTCCATTATGTCAATAGAACAAAGAGGCTGAAAGACATATATATGACACGTTCTTACACCTTGATTTCAGAGGACTCTATAATAACCATTGTCCAGCTATTGGGATTGTCTTAATTTACTAAACTATTTAACAGGAATGGTCTTTTCTACTGTACTTCTTTCAGAAGAAAAAAGCCTAATCTCTTAGCTAGAAAACACTCCTTGTGGGCCTCTTGACTGCTGTAGAAAACATACAATGCCTTCACCATTTACAGTTGAAGAGAAAAGAGGAGAGTGGTTCCCTGGCAAAAGCATTACTTTGTGCCTGTTGGACAAAGGTTGCAGGTAGGAAATTTAAGAGGAACAACTTTCAGCATGATGAACGACCTGCGTCATTTCTTGTTTGCAGACAGAAGAGGTATTTCGGAAATAATGCATATAAAACCTTAACAAAGTCAACACATCTTTTTATCGTTAGCAGCAGGATTTTAGTCACACCCAGAAACCACATAATTTTCAAGAAGTCTTGGCTGCCCTTGGGTTTAGCAGCCAAAGTGATTTCAGAGAGTTCAGCACTCCCAGAAGTATCCTACCATGTATAAAAGCCTCATCCTACAAATATTTACTCATACAGACACGTGGGCACCCTTTCCTCTTGTAATGGTCCTGTTAAGTGAACGGGGAACATATCTGAGGAGAAGTGCATGCCCAGGACAGCAAGCTGCCAGACTGTAACACCACATAGCCACGTGCTAGCAGTCAATAGTGACAGATGAGTATTTGTGCAATCTTACATCATGTGAACAGGGATATTTCCAGCACACAGCAATGACATCTGCTCCACCAAATGGAGCACCACTAAGTGGATCAATCACCACCACCAAGTGGATCGAGGGGAGCATTTATGTCCCAGAGGAATGAAAAACATCCTCTCCTTACCATACTGATGCTGCAGTAAGGCCATGACACATGCCAAAGCCCCATCCTACCTAGTAGCCCAAAGGAGACAAGCGAAATACTGGCTGTAGCTTTTTGCCCTGAAGACTGGCAAACCAATGAGTGATCTTCAAGCTCCACTTTACTTGCTAGTAAGGAGCAAGTCTTCTGTGCTGCCTTGCTGTGGCTCTATGTGTCTTCTCTTTGAACTCCCACACATGGACATCAGGGGATGTTCCATGCAAGCAGTCATGCAAGCAGAAGGAAAGAGCTCTTTTATCATGCCTTCTCAGCCCAAAAACTAAGACAGAGGGCAGAAGCTTAAGCTGTCTGGGCTTTGTTCCTGCACGCTCCTGCTTTTAGGGAGCACTGTGAATACAGCAATGCATTAAGCTCTCTTATAAAAGACCTGATGGTGTGGAATAGTATTCTATTTCATCTGTGTTTCTTCTTATCTTTGTGAGACTCTTACTGCCTGTACTGTGAGAAAATCTGTAGCAGCCAATCTGTCATCTAAACAAAAGCAACAGTGTCCTTTGGCTTTGCTCTGTGCACAGGGCCACACGTACCCAAGAGCTGCACACAGATGTGGTCTCCTCTTTAATGGAAGTTTCCAGTACAGCAAGCCTTTAAGGCACTTCCCTTTCATTAATCAAAAGCAGGGAACACAAATGTCTGGTGGGTTTTTGCATTCAAAAGAGAAGAAATTTCTGAGGTTTAAAAACAAGAAAAAAGCACATTGAGAACTGGACTGATCTGAATGGTGTGAGATGAGCCAAGCTGCCTTCAGTGCTCATTCTTAGGGCATTAGGCATGAAGGAAGACAGTCCTCTAACTCGTCACCTTAGTTAGAGGAAGACACCTCTAACTACTGCTAGGACAGTCCTCATTAGGAATAGTAGGAGCTTTGTTCAAGGTAAGCAAGCAAAACACAAAACTCTGAATTCATCTCTCCCTGCTGCCCAGTTTGTGTTGGTTTCAGTCATAACCTTACCATCATTTAAATGCAGGTTTTGAATTTAATTTCCGTGTGGAGAATAAGTCATGACCTTGGAAAATGGCACCAAGTCAAGTATGCCATTTAATAACAGTATTGAAATCTATTCCATGTAATATTCTTTATGAAACTGCCTTAACCCCTGGTAAACTTCCCATGAGGTCTCCAGGATTTTTAACTACCCCTCACTGTGTGAGAACCCGCATTACTCAACACAGATGGAGTGCTGCTGATAGCTCCTGCACTCAGCACCTGCCTCAGCCCTCCTCTGCCTGCACAAAGTTCTGAAATAACAGCAGCATGGGTTCTGGCAACATGTCGCCAACACATGCAGATGCAAACTCCTCCCTAAGAACGGTCCTGGGAGAAATGCAAAAATGAAAAACCCTTTTATTGATGTCAAGCTCACCATCCAAAATGAAGCAATGCCCAGATCTCTCTGCAGCACCCACAGCTCCACGCTCAGTTGAAGCCAAGCCAAGTAAACAAAGAAGCATCTCCATTTACATAAAACTCAAAACAGCAAAACAGAAAATCATAAATGATTTCAAAGATCCAAGACTTGATTTCATTTTGGCCTCTTACTTGTTTTTACCCAAAGTTCCAGGATTCCTTTAAACCATTTCCTACCAAACCTGTGTGAGTGTACTTGCCCACACGACATGCCCTGGGATTTCACTTGCTGCTGGATTACTGCTTTGCAAGAGAGCTAAGAGGTAGTAACACATAAATGGGATCAGAATACACAAAGGCAAAACAAACAAACAAAAAAGCCTGTAAGAGGCAGTGAAGGAGGTGACTGTCTCTACTAAAATGAGCCAGCTCTCTGTGCATCACCCTCTGGGGCAGCTTTCTCACCGAGGTAGGTCTTTAACTGTTTTCCCAAAGTCTGGATCTGATGCTTTTTTGTGGCTCCCATCCTTCAGCTGATGAGCCTCCGACACCCTCATAACAATATACCTCTGGGACCCTGCAAACGAGAGGCAAATGGGAACAAGGAACAGGTGAGACATGAGACATGAGTGTTACCAAAGGGGTGGATTTGCAGCAGGAAAACAGGCGTCTGAAGAGCCAAGGGGTGAAATTAATGTATTAATTACAATTAGAACACTAAAAGCTCATTCTCCATGTCCAACCCTGTCTTCCCTGCTACAGGAGGGTGCAGGCACAGCCCAACCCTGCGGGCTGCCTACCTGGGAGGCGCTGGGGGTAGCCCAGGATGGGGATGGAGATGAGGAGTGAGGCTGCTCCAGCCCCCAGGAAGCCGATCCACCATGCCCCCACCCACAGCGTGTTCTCTGGGGAGATGTCAGTCCTGCAAGAGACAAAAGCAAAAGGACACAAGGGAGAGAGGCGGTGGTTTGAAACAGAGGGGAAAAGCTGGGCACTGCCCTCACTAAAGCTGGCCGAGGTTGGGGGAATGATGGGGACATCACTGAAGGAAATTGCCTCTCCTGGAGAGTTCTGCCGTGTCCACCATCTGTCCTGCCTGACAGATGCACAGCACTTAGTGAGCCTGAGAAATTACATCATTTATTTCTCTTTTCATCTCTCGCTTGCGTGTTTCACCTCATCCATTTCATTTCTGCTTTGGGGGTTGCAGTGAGCCTTGTTCCATCCCACAGCCACCCTTTCAGCAAGACAGCTGGTGGAAATAACCCATTCCTTCCCCAAAAACCCACTCAACCACTGCAGCCCATTCATCTGCCAAAGAGCCTATAGGCTAAGAGGTGATAAAATAAATTAGAAGCAATAAACAGCGAAGAGAGACAGACCAGGCATTGTGGCCAGATAGCCAGGAGGAAAAGCTGCACTGCTGGCAGCCTGGCCTGATGGGGGAACTCATTCAAAAAATTCACCTGCTGCTCCCAGCCTCGTTACAGCAGGCAGTGCAGCATAAGGAAGGATTTAGGCTGACAGGTTCATGAGCAATTCTCTTCCAGTGACAGCATTACTGCAATCAACCATTCCAGCCTCAGCGCCCCCCACAGAAATGCTGCTGAACACAGTGGGCATTTTCCCCCCAGCCACTGAGTTATTTTCCTGGATTTTTTTTTTTACCCCAAAGGAAACATACAGCATAAAGGAAAAGGAACAAGATTATTTTTTAGCCACTTACTCTCTGCCAATTTCAGTATAAATATTTAGAAACATTCCTCCTACCAGATAACCCGCTGCAGGACCAAGGATTGCAGCAGTGTAGAAAACAGCTGAAAGGGAAAACAAGCGGTGTTAGAGAACCTGCAGAACTACAGCGGATGGGCTGCTGCTGGGGAGTGCTGATACCCACAATACAACCAGCAGCACTGAGGAATGAACAGCCTGGAGAAGAAAAGGTCTGGGAAGACCTCATAGCGGCCTTTCAGCATCTAAAGAGGGGCAACAAGGAAGGTCTGTTCAGACCTTTCAGTCTGGTCTGTCGTGGAATAGGTTGCCCAGACAAGTGGTGGCTGCTCTCTCCCTGGAGACATTTAATGTCAGGCTGGAGCAGGTTCTGAGCACCCTGCTGTAGATGTCCCTGGTCATTGCAGGAGGGTTGGACCAGATGGTATTTACAGGTCCCTTCCAACTCAAATGATTCTATAAATCTATGAACGGAGCATTCTTTCTCAGTGAAGCTGCACTGTATGTTGCACCAGCAGCATCCGAACAAACACTCCTCCCGTGCTCTGGTACTGAAAGGGCAATGCCTTGCACGGACATGACTGATGGCCAGAGAAGGTAATGCCATGCACACAGGAGAGACTGTCCTCAGCTGACGGCTGTGCCAGGAACACTAGCACCTCCTGCTCTGCAGGACTGCAGGAGCAAAAATGCCCAGCTGCACTCACAGCGCCTGCCTGCCAATAACTGGAAGGGGGAAAAAATAATGAAAACCTCCCAGACAGCTGCTTCTCTCTACTTATCATCATGTCTGTCATCAGGAACAAAAGACTTGGAGCACCTCTTGTGAAAGCGCCCAGGGCTGCCAAGGCAGATGGAGCGGACCTCCCCCCAGCCCCTTTGGCAGCCACTCACCAATGTACACAGGGGAGTAGTTAGTCTTGACGTTTTCATCTAAATAGGTGACGCCAAGCGTGTAGAGCGGCGTGGCTCCCATCCCATGCAGGAACTGCCCCAGCATGAAGACAAACCTGTAGCTGGAGAGCCCGGACGCAGCCGCTGCGCAGGGCAGGCTCTGGTTGGCAGCACAGATGCCCACCTCAGCCGAGGAGCGCACCTCATAGCGGCCCGTGGTGAAGTGGGGCAAAGCGAAGAGCAGGGAGCCCAGGCCCATCACCAGCACGCCCCAGCCCAGCCAACGTGGCTTGTGGCCATTCCCTCCGAAATAGCTGACGAAGGTGAGGCAAAGGCAGGCGGCGATGTCGTAGGAGCTGGCGATCAGCCCGCTCTGGTAGCTGCGCAGGTCAAAGCGGCGCTCAATGGAGGTGATGACCGTGTTGATGAAACCGTTCACCGTCATGCCTTGCAGGAAGGAAGCCACGCAGAGGAAGAACAAAACGCCCTTGGAGGTGTTGAAGAGCTGCAAGCAGCCAGGGGTGAACCCTCCCCAGCCGCACGCCAGCTCCTCCTGCTCGGCTGAGATGTATTTAATGCCTTTGGCCTCGCAGAGGGGCAGCCCGCAGGACTCGGTGCCGCTGGGAGTGCCATTGCTCAGTGGCGTGCCGCTTGCCGAATCGAAGGCTGGGCTGTCCTCACCCACAGGGGATGGGCTGGGGAAGACGAGGGGCTGGGAGAAGTGGAAGCCATTCTCTCCCGTTAAGTGATGGGGCTTTGCCATGAACGGCGCAGCAGAGTGGGTCCAGTGTTGGCTGCGGCTGGGGCTGCGCTGCGGGGCGGTCAGCGTGTGCCTATTGCGGGGCTGTGAGCTTTGGCACACACATTAGATGGCAGAGGGCTGAGCCAGGATCATTGCAATCTGTGAACAGAGAAGTTTTACATATACTTTTACTATGCTATAACCTATAATTGTATTTCCTTTTGTAGAATGCTTTTTCTCAGTAAGTACCAGCATTTCGCTGTGCAGTTTGGCTGCATTTGCCTTCCACCACAGTGTGCCAGTACTTCAGGTATTGGGGTTCCATTAATAGTACAGAAAAGCAAATTATGTTTATAGAATCACAGAATCATGAAGGTTGGAGAAGACCTCCAGATCACCAAGTCCAACCCCAGCCCACCCCACCATCCCACTAACATCTCCCTCAGTGCCACATCTCCATGGCTCCTGAATGCTTTCAGGGACAGTGATCCACCCCACCTCCCTGGGCAGCCTATATCAGTGCCTCACCACACTCTGGAGAATAAATGTTTCCATCCGTCTGGAACCTCCTCTACTGCCACCACCTCTTTCTTAAAAGATGAGCATTAAAAAGCTACACTGAAGACCAGCTCCCTGTCTGATGAAATCCTTCATCACTTCTCCCTAAAAGTGATCCCAGGTCGATGCTGGACCTTTCCCCTCTTAGGCACAGCCTCTTTCCCTTCCCTTTTTCCTGCAGAGAAATTTGTGGAAAGCTACAAGTTTCCCACTGTTAGAAGTCCTTTGGTTTCTCTTTCACACTGTGCTAATAACAGTTTATAATTATCCTGAGAAGTTTCCACAGTTGGATCGATTTTATCCCAGGCCCTGAGATCTGTTTACAACTATTCAGTAAAATCCTTTCTGTAACTAATTAGACTACGTGCTGCTGCAGAGGAAGCTGGAGGGCACAGGCAGCTGATGTTAACCTGATTACCAATGTAGACTGTCTCTCAAACAGTTCCTGTGCTGTCCCAGCATCCCAGCACCTCAACATTGCAGAAAAAAAGAAAAGAAATTTTTTACAAAAAGAGCTTTTTTAGTTAAATGTATTGGCTGAACTATAAATGATGTAAAAAAGCAACTTCTCTTTTGAGTGCAGATCTTAAATACACAACGAATACTGGGCAAGAACTGCTTTATTACAGAATATTTTCAAAGCATTCAGCATTGCCCAGCATTTGCTGTCAATATTTATTCAAGAGCCTCCTATAAAAATGTTCCTCTTTAGATTTATCTAAGGGAATGGGAGAAAAGAGGAGGTTGTTGTCCCAATAAAATGAGCCACGTTCAGATTGCTGTAACCTGGAAATGTTGCAGGAATATTCCTGTAAACAGTAGAATTGTTTGACCTCTACCATTGGTTCTTAGAGGCACCAGGGCAGGTAGGCTTGAAGAATTTGATGCTTAGAAGATTATCAAGGTTCTGCTTCCACCCCAGAGGGCCAGAGGATACACCCCATATAAACGGATGTCAGTAGTGCTACAACAGCACTGGTTTAGCAGATGAGATGCACTCATCAGTGCATGAGGCCTTTCATTTGCAGATAACTGTCCATTCTGAGGACCAGAGGGCACCGACTACATCTGTGTCCAGGTTTCTGTAGGAATTTGATGATAGTACAGAGGCAGGGTGAATTTCACAGCAAAAGGGCCACTGCCACACCCAGAGCTGTGTCTGTAGGTGCTGTCAGCACAGAAACCTGCACAGGTTACTGCTAACACAGGGAAATGCAAAAACTATCTGCAGGTTTTAAAGTTTAGCTGAAGGGACAGACTTGTGCAATGTGTTGGCATAAAAGGATAATAGTTTGGATGTATGGCTGTAATTTTTCACTTTTTTGTCCCTCTACTGTCCCTATGACTCTTGCGGCTCTAGATCTATTTTTCTCATCTTTGCAATATTGCAAACAATAAATAAACTCAGAAGGGATGACTGGCTGCTGGATCAGGCGTTAGGGAGCAGAATGGGTCACGTACCAAAGCGTAAATCAACAGACTGCAGATGCAGTCCACACATTTGCCATTACATTTGTCTATCCATGAAGAAGGCTGCTTAGCTGGCAACTGTTTTTGCTAGCACCAACTTCAGCAGGTTAAATAAGCCCATCTCATATTGCTAACTTGTAGGATGGAGAGCCAAGAGTTCCCAAAGGGGCACCCAGGGGGAAGCGCTCGTACTGCCTCTATCAGCAGCAGGATGCCTCCATCAGTACATATTTCATGAGTCAGGAAGAGATTAGAGATTAGCATTAAAGTTTTCCCATCTTTAAAGTAGGAGGAGGAGGAGTCTGGCCACCAGCTCCAAGTGACCGCAGCATCCTCCCTTCCGACTTTTGTTACCCTTAATCCTATTGAGTTATCAGTAAACATGGAATGAAGCATTTCAGTGTATCTCTCCCAGGAGCAGCAAATGCCTCCCCCGTGCCCAGCAGCCTCACACTCTGATCCAATCCCTGCACCAGCACAGAAGGGTTGCACCCAGTGCTCCAGGCAGGCAGCCCTGTGCTGCATGCTGTGCCTACCTCACAGCCCGCTATCTCACCAAGTGTTTCCAAACTGGAACTGACACATTCACTGGGCAGATTAGCTTCCACGTGAGCCATGTGCCACTTTAGAACAGCAACAACAACAACAAATGCACACACACAATAAAACTTAACTTCATGCACTTCCTAATCTTTGTTATTCATCTACTTATTGCTTCTCATCCATCTCTGTTTTTAATGACTCAGCTGGTAAGTTCTTGCTTGCTTTGAACCAGTCCCAATACTATTATGTCAAAGCTATAGATGTCCTCATTTTGCTGCAAGACTTGTTCTCGTTATTGTTATTATTTTTGAAGACATACAATTGATTCCAGGCTGCCAACAGTACCAAATCAACACTATAGCAGTAGCAAGGCAATGAAAGCATGTATCTTATAATGAAATTTGTAAAGATTGCCCTCTCCCCAATATTTACCATTAAATCAATAGCAAAATGGCAAAACTTAGAAGCTTTTCATCAGGTGATCACTTAACAAGTCACAGGACCCATAAAAACAAGCTTTGTCTCTGCTGAGGCCTTTGATTAATGTCACTAATTAACTCCTAACTGGCATGTGAAATAATCCTATTTGCTGAAGCAAATCTTTCCTTTCACTCTATGATTTTTGAATTTCATGAGGTATTATTGTGGCAAATGTCATCTACTCATCATTTCTGCTTTCCACAGCCGAGCACAGGGCAGATTTAATAATTTCTTCAATCCTATGGCAGCACACTTGCTAAGAGAAAACAAGTGATCAGAAAATGTGTTGCGAACCACTAGGACAACCGCCCTCCTCCCTGATCTACAGGAGAGCCTGCCCTGGCTGCATGGCCAACCAGCCTTTGGGAAAGCCCACATCCACTCATGAGGCTCTGCTATCACTGCACACAGGGATAAATTCATCGAGGTTTGGACCCTTAATTTCTTTCAGTTACAAACAGTGAATTTGTGTTGCACTTGGCTTGGAGGATTATCGGTATTATTCTGCTGCAGCTGATGCACACCATATGGATCAAGCGTAATCCACTCACTGGTTTACCAGGGGAAAGCCTCGCAGAAGTGAGACAAATCCATACCGTGGTCCTGAGAACACGCCTGTCCTCGAGGGCTGCTTCAGCTGAGAGGGAGATAAAAGAAGGCACGCGGTGACCGGGCTGTTCTCTGGATGTGCAACACCGCAAATTGCTGTCCTGGCAGCTGGGGAACTTTACTCAGGGGATGTGAGGACCTCCTGTTACAGCACAGTTACAAAGCCTCCCTTCAGCTCAGCAATACGGGGGAGGCTGCTGTTGCCAGCAGCAGCCTTTAATCAGCAATTCCAATAGCAACAGCACCATTCTGCACATACACGTTTCAGGAATGAGAAACACACCCAAAGAGCTCACAGATACCTAATGCTGTGCTCCCTACCAGTGGCAGTGCTGCAGGTGCACCAGAGGTGTGTCCCACCAGGGTCTGAAACACAGAAACCAGCAGCAGAAGCTGGCTTTAAATTATCACCGGAACAAGGACACAATTATAATTAAATAACGTCCAGCTAGCAAAGCTTAGCACTCACAAAACCCTTTGTATGTTTTCCAAGCACTCTTCCATTCGCTGGCAAATTAATGCAATAATATGCAAGAAATCAGGAAGGTGGCTTGGATAATTTTCAATTAGCTGCTTGAAAATGCTTTGAAGATAAATCTAGCCAGATTTTCTGAGCTTACTTATTTGTTCCAGCTTATCTGTGCAAACGCAATTGGCTGCAGCTGCCTCAGCCCATCTTCAAAAACTTGCCGTGCCAATACACAGAGCAGATTTAACCAGGCAACAATATTCTGCTGCAGCAAAGATTAGCCAGACAAAAGGTTCCTTTATGCCATAATGCCTAACTCCCTCTCTCTAATGTCACTCTTGCTTTAATGTCTTTTTCCTTCCCCTAAGTTTGATCAATGATGAGAAAGTTTCCATGCCAGCACCGCGGATGCAGCCCCAGTATTTTCCCATGATCCAGATAAACACACATTATTCTCCAGCATTTGGATTCTTAAGGACATTTAAGGAAGCTCGATATCCAGGACAGTGTTTTTGCATAAACCATGAGTCAGCTTTCCTCCATGATTATCACTTAGTTCCTATACGTATCCCCTCTTGCTTCCAAGAAATGATGATTCAGGCAAATCGTGGATGAGGTGACCAAACTGAATGGGCCAAATTATGAAAACGAAGCAACCGTTCTTTGCTGTGTCTAAAGCAATTATATTAAAAAAGCCACATCCTATGCTATGCAATACAAGGATGCTGAGTGTAGGATAAATATAATATCATGATGTTGACACTACCACCACTTACAGGAACATTTTTTTTTAAAACTTCCTGGTTAGATGAGTGCAAAGGTAGGAGTGAAAAGAGGAAATGATACCATGAAACTCTGGGGAAGCCCTGCCACAAACAGGTGGATTTGGCATCAGCAAGATGTGGTGTAGGTGGTGTATTAACATTATATATCAGTAGCGCAGCCTCTTCATAAATAGAGGGTAACAGTCATTGCTGGAGCAGCAAAGCCTCTGCATGGTTTTCCACATGCTTGTCTGTTGCATCGCTGCTGGAACAGGCTTTTCATTGAGATATCACCATCTGGCTTTTTTTCCCCTGAACAATCAATTCATGCACTACATCAAGCTGCTCTCCCCTTGCAGAGTATCAGGAACTGGGAATTTGGCTTTACTGTAACGCAGCAAGAGCAGAAATGCTGTTATTCTTGCAGCTATAACTACCTATACCTAGCTCAGACCGCTGCCCCTCTTACCACTGTCTCCCATGCAAAAAAGCCCACCCAAAGCAATCAGGAGACACATGTACATTTCTACATTTTTCTTTACTGCTGCAGCATGGGAAGAAAACGACATGAAATCCCAGGCATTATGAATTCCTGCACAGAGGAAGAAGATCTGCCATGGGACAAAGCCTCTACACCACTTTTACATGCTGTAGGCTGTGGGGTAGGATGTCAACATCCAGATTAACTCACGTTTTGTTTCTTCTTGGGAAGAGACTGCTTTCCAGCAGCTCTTTTCTACAGCAGGTGGGCTTTCCAGGGCCAACCATGCACTGTGAGACATTTGCTCTACCAATAGAGCACAGGCTGCAGGACATCTGCAGCTCACAGCCTTCTAAGACACATTCTCCAGCTCTGTGCCTTGTTGGTGGATTAGATTTCCTCCCCAGTTCCTGTCCTAACCCAGATAATACAGGGGTAAAGAGAGCACATTAGAAGAGATGAACGCATCACAGGAAAAAAAACCACACCACAACACACACAAAAAAAAAAACAACCCACAAATCAACCCACAAGGTGCATCCCCCAACATTCACCATCCTCAGAGAGCACATGAGTCCCTGAGACAGGCTGAGAGAAGGGTGGAGAGACAGCCAATACAGGAAGGATTCAGCTGAAGGAAGAGTATTACCCACACAAGCTCGCTCTTTTTTCCAGATCAGCAAGTAATAGCTTCTCCAAACATCCTCCAGAGCACAAGCTCACTGGTGCACACCGCTTAGCCTGGATCTTGTTTAACATTCAGTGATGCTCTCTAATCCTCCGAGGTATTAGTCTTGAGATTCCTGCCAAGCACAGGAACAGCACAGCACTCCCAGACAGCACTTAAATGAACTTGCTGCTTGAAATGGGCCATTTGGCTCTCTACCATAGAACTCCAGCTGTTCCTTTTTTTGGTTAACCTCAGATGAGCACCTAGGAAGGCACTACAGCATGCAAAACACACAGTTAAATAACCCTGATTTCTCTGACTCAGATGACTCCCTGCAATGTCATTCTGCATTAAGAATGGGATTTCTCTCTTAATCACTTGTTTAAAAGTTAAATATCTAACTGGAGTTGGACATTCCTATCGTCTCTACTGACCACTGTGAAAAGATCATCAGGTCCAGCTTGTTTATGGCTCTCCAGCCATGTCTCCACCATCACTACTTTTTGTGTTTCTAAATCACCCATTAGTACAGATATGATCTGGAGCAGGAATGGGCATATAATCATATTTCTGTTGGATTAGCCAAGCATATTATTTTGAATATACTCTGGTCTCCTGTTAGCTACAATAACAGAAACTGTATTTGATCTAGCACAAAGCCAGATGGTGCAAAATGACCCCTTGGGCACAAAGCTGATGTGACACAAGGGTGTTCGGACCAGACCAGTGCTCAGGTCATGTAGCTGTGGGACTTCTGACTCAGTGTGTGCTTCCTCAAAGTCTCATGGCACCAAGTACTCACTATCTGCCCTCCTATGATGAACTAAACAAAACAGTCGTATTTCATCCTCTTAAAATAAACACCACGTCAGATTGGGGTTAGTTTGCATCTGATCACACAACACATCATGGTTTGGAGATTTCTTTAAGAAAAACATATCCTTATTATGCAATCAAGAGGAAATGATGATCCCCGTCAAAGGAATCCTCCTTCTCTGACTCAAAATCCCAAACTGGTACCATAACCACAAACTACAGCAGTGATGAGATTTAGGCAGGAACACAGACCCAAAGAGAATGGATCAGAGATTGAGGGCAGCACATGAGCAGTGTGCAGGACTGCTGATCATGCAAATGGGGGCAGGCAGAAGCTACGCGGTGAATATTATGGCCTGAGAACTGCAGGAGGTTTTGAGAAGCCAGCCTGAAGTCACTGCTTCCTTAGAAACCTCCAAAATGCTGAGTCCTCACCAATGTCTTTGCTGCAATCCCCTATCATGGCTGCAGCCATGACTTAATGCAGAAGGCATAGAATGTCTCAGGGATGGCCACAAAGCACAGCAGGGTGCACACAGGCAGTTGTGTTATGGCCCGATGCTTCCACGTGGCTGAGCACAAGGAGTAAAAATCACTGCTGACCAGAAAACATGAAATTACTTTGGGAGATGCTGGTGGAAAAATGCTTGAAGCCATCAGCACAGATCAGTACCAGCATTGATGATGTGGTGAGGTGGGCCCATAGGACAGTGAGTGCACAGGTGTGTGTGTGTGATTTGCCAGCACAAACGCTGCTGGCTTTGCAAAGCTCTTATAGGATGGCACCCCTCTCCTCTCACAAGGCTCAATCAGGCCAGCAATTCATTCCCACTGCCAGGGAACAAATTGCTGCCAAATGGTATTTCTTCCTGAGATAAAGGAATAAACAGGCATATAATGTTCCCATTGTCAACCCAAAACATCTGCTGGAATTCAGAGGGGCTTGCTGTCCCTGCGTTCTGTGGGCACGGCTTCTGCTTTGTACCCTCTGTGCTCTCATGGATGAGAAGCGCAGCCTCAGAGGGCAGCTGTGAGGGGACAGATTTACTCAGAAATCTGAAAACTGCCTTCAAGAGATTCCTGCTCCCATGCAGCAGCACGGCGTGGTTCTTGTTTCTGACTTGGGAACTTTTTGGTTTGCCTTGCTGAGGACCTGCCTGCCCCTCACAGCCCCTGCAGTCCTGTGTGGCATGAACACAGCCTGGTTATTTACTCTGCACTCATTTTAAATTCATTTTCTTCAGCATCTTAAAGTAGTCCCTTCAAGGTTTTCTGCCAAATAAAAGGAACACACGCTAAGGGGCTCATGAGCTCCGTGGGGCAACGCTGTAAAGAAGCCCCACATCTGGCCTGAAGGGTCAGAATCCTCCTCAGCACTGACTCCACTCCAGCAATACAAAGCGTAAAGCTGCTTTGAAAGCACTGACAGGCAATCCCTTTTTGGGGGAATTCTTATGCTAACGTGAAGCTCTGTGGCATCTGCCTTGGCCTCCATTATACCAAAGCATAGCAGAAGCAGGTCAGTCCCACAAGGAGCCAGGCTTCTGTTTGCTGTGCAGCTTGTGAGGTGAGAGCAAGCTTGAGTTAAAAGTTCAAATCTATTTTATTTGGAGGATGGTAGGTCAAAAATATTGATGCAGTTTCATAGAAGAGGATGCAAGGGAACAGAAAACTGAGCAGCGCCCAAGCCCTTCAGATGCTGTGGGGAACTGTTTATTTCTGTACGGTGGGTTAGGATCACTTAGCAGAACTCTGTCACCTAGATGTATTCTTTTTCTATCTCTTAGTGCCATTTAGAAAATTAACCCCTATCTCAGAGTATCTGAAGCACTCGAGTTCACAAATGTGAAAGCGTATCTATAAAAAAGCCAACAAGTACTTTTTCTTGGATTATTTTCAGCCAGAGCACTGCAAAGTCAAAGTATCTTTTGGGAAATAAAAGTGTTTGGCCTTGCTTTCTCCACATGAAAAAGACTCCTAAACTCCTTCAAACCACTGTGCAGTGGTTAAAAAAACTTGTCAGCATTTCGTTTTCATGCTTGGAAGACCCAGCCCAAGATCTGAGAATTCAAGTGGCTGAAGACTGCTGACATCACACAGCAATATGTTATTTATATATATATATATAAAGAAGAGGAATCAAATTTAGTTTTAGTGTAACTACACATAGAATCATAGAATCATGTGAGTCAGAAGGGACCTTTAAAGGTTGTTTTGTCCAGCTCCCCAGCACCACCACAGTGGGAGATCAGCCTAACATCTTTGTTGCTGAACACCCAACACGGATAACAAGAATAAAGCAGAGATTTCCCACCACTGACATACTCCCATTGCTGGTAAACCTGGAATGACATTATTTTTGGTACCAGCAATATGGTAGTTGCCCTGATTTATCAGTACTTCTGCCTGAAGAGAGACTTAAAGTTAGAATAACATCGTTCTGCCAATATTAAATACTACACTTACTCATCTTGTCGGCACAAACAAAAAGTCTGATGTAACATCCACTGCTTAGTGGCCCTCTCTGAGCACTCATCTACAATCAGTCATCCCGACTTCTGGGGTGAGATGGGCAGTTCTGCCTGGGTTTCAGCAAACAGATGAGTGCTCCCTCAGAGCACTTTCCATGGAAGTGTTTGCAGAATCTCTTTCCTCTTGGATCGCCCAGTTTAGCATCACTGGGATGTTGCTCAGGGCCAAAATGGCACAGAACTAATTACATCATGGGGAGGTCTAGCACTGAATCCATTCTGAAAAGGAAAAGGAGAGTAGTAGCTCCAATAGCAGCTCCTAGGGCAGCTGGGGGAGCTGCTAACATGCTGTGCTTGTGTGTCAAGCATGGGGTAGGAAGAGATGTGGTCAGAGCTGCTGTTGTCCCAGTGCTGTTGTGCTCATCAGCACAGATCAGCCCAGAAGTGGGCCCAGATAACACAGTTTTTGAGTCCTGGGTAAGCAGGACTCATTTCATATCAGGCACTGAAATAAAGACTGGAATATCAATGCACTTCAGAGCATTATCCACCCTGCACCCTGCTGTAACACCAGTGTCCTGTTATCAAGAACAGAACCCAAAGGGGGAAGGGAACCTTCCCCTTGAAACCGTGCCCAGCATCTCACTATCCTGAAACGCCAGCAGCAAGCTATCAGCTCTGCTAAGTGCTGCCATGCACCTTACAAAGCATTTCCACTGCTCATCATTGCATTAATGGGACTGTGCAAGACTTAAACGTCCCAGGGTCTGAGTAATCAATGCATGAGCAGCAGCTCAGAGAACACAACGAAGAAACTCACAAACTCAAATGGCAAAACAGAGTATTTGGCACCTTCACCCATGGGTTGTGACCAAACCCTCAGGGAAAGGCAGGTAGCAGGGCTTGGTGCATTGTGAAGTAAAGGGGAGCAGAACAAGGGCTCAGCAGGGAAAGAACAGAATGATCAGCACAAGGCAGAGCCATGAGTCATTTTAGGCTGCTGCAGGGTGTAAAGATCCAAACCAGGAGCAGGACCACAGCATGCTTCAGGCACACGAAAGAGACTAAGGCAGCCTCGATGGGTTGAAACTGGAAATCATGTGAGGGAGAGCGGCTGGATGCTGATATTCCTAAAACAGGGGTTATTTCTTTCGGTAATGGCTGATCCTATCTTCTCTCTTGTCTGTGAATCTCTAATCCCTGTATAGATTTCTAGTAAGCACTTGCTCAGGTAGCTCCTAAGTTCCCAGAGCCAGGAATAACTACAACGTGCATCGATTGCTGTTGGAATTCCAGTGTTTTGCCATCCCAGGGCAGGATCTCCACGGCGGTAACTGAGGGCAGGATCCACGTAGCACTGTCCTGCACAGCTCCTGGCACACCTGGGCACACTCACACCGCTCAGTGCCAAACACAGGGCAGGAGTTTGCGGGCAGCCCCAAGGCACAGGGCTGTGAGCAGCGCTTCACATCATTTGCGCTAGCCTGCAGGCTGGATCTCTTTGCATAAAAATAGCTTCGCTTTTTTTTTTTTCTTTTTTCTTTTCGTTATTTGACTAACTCCTTCTCCCCGCCCACCCTGTTTCATCCTACTTATCACGTTTACAACAGCTCAAGGCATATGTCTCTAAAGATCCCCTTTGTTTTAGTTCTCCATCAGATGCGATTTCAATGTGTGCTTTTACAACCAAGCGACTCCATATAGGAGCCCAGAAAAGGGGGAGGGTATGAGGAGGGGGTGGAGAAATGGAAGTGGCAGACTGGGATAACTTCACGTTTGTAGCGTGTTGCTCGCTAAAATCAGACTATAGAATAGTTATAAAAGACACATGCAACAAACTCATGTGATGAATGTCATCCAGAAGAGTCTTCTGAGGACTTAAAGCTGAAAAGCACGTTTTTATTACAACACTCCAGATTCACATCAACTGAGCAAATAGGTTACCGAAAGTAATACAGGTCAAACAATGAGATCACTGCGATTTCAGCCCAGCGTGCTGCCTGTGCCTTCCTTCTCTAACTTCGTTACTATTCCCTTGAAATAAGGATGCTGGTATTGCTCACATCCCTTTCACTTGCTGTAAGCATTGCTGTGCCATGCCTCCACACCAGCTCTTCCTACTTTCCACTCCTTCTCTGCACCTTTCTAATTTCCCGTAGAAATATGGTAACAGGAGGGGTGGGGGAAGGGGAGAAAAAGAAGAAATGATTCAGTCCTGACGAATTTCAGTTACACCGTGGTAAAAAGTATTGTTCTGAAAGCATCGCTCTGAAAGCCCAAATGGAAAGTCTCGATTCGCGTGCGGCTATTTTTTTTTTTTCCCCTTGAAGCGAGACACGCGTTTCCGCACACGATGACCACAGAACACTCGCATGGCACCATCCGCTCCTCCCCGGACCCCGGTGAAGAATCCCATCCCCGCTCCTCCATCCCCATCCCCGCTCCTCCATCCCCATCCCTGCTCCCCCATCCCCGCTCTCCCGTCCCCATCCCCATGTCCGCTCCCCATCCCCATCGCGGGGCTTTTCTACGGCTCCTCCCGCACCCATCCCTGTCGCCTCGGGGCTCCCCGAGCGGTGCAGAGCTGTGGGGAAGGGGATCTCATCGGTGGTCCCGCCGCCCCCAGAGCCCACACTGTCCCCGGTTCGGCTGTGCAACCAGAACCCTCCCGGTATCACGGAGCAGCCAGCAGCTCGCGGTACCCACCCTGTGCTCCCTCATCCTTCCTACAGTCCTCCATCCTTTCTACAGCCCTCCATCCCTCCCATGTCCCTGCGGTCCCGGTCCCGGTCCCGGTACCCCCGGCCGGTACCTGCCGCCACTGCCGCCGCTGCCCTCTTGTCGCCGCCCCGCGCTCCGCTGCCCGCATCGTGGGCGCGGGCATTGAGTCCTGATGGACGTGAGCTTCCTCCAATCGGAGGCGGAGCGCGGAGACTGTGCGGCCAATGGCGGGAGGGGACGCGGAGGGTAAAGTGAAAGTGGGAGAGAGGGTCGGGGGGAGAGGCGAGAGATGGTTGGGGGCAGTGGGGGGAGAGGGAGAAGGAGAGGGAAAAGGGGGAAGGAGGAAGGGTGGGAAGGAAAGAGGGAGCAAAAAAGAGTGTCGGCGAAAGGATGGAAAAGGAAGGAAAAGGATGGAAGAGAGACCCTGGCTAGGGAGAGGGCAGGTGTGAGAGAGAGCAGGTGCTTCATAGGAAAAATGAACTATTGTCCTCTTGCTGGAGGGCACTGCAGCCTTCCTGCCTCCAGGGTGTGCTGGGGGAGCTGTGGGGAATGGCCAGGGGAGACCTCAGGGGAAGCTGTGCTGCCAGGGGATGCAGCTGTGATAGCAGAGCAGGACCTAACCCTGTCCTCTGGCTGCTCCAACAAACCTACCTCACATAAAAGGAGGAAAAAATGGAATGGGAACTGATGCATAAGTATTATTTTGGGACACAAACACAGCTATTGCAGCGTTATCTTTATTGGTGCAGTATAGTGCCTAATGTTGTTACTGGGGCAGGTGTGGTAGGGTTAATGATTGCAGGGGAAGCTCTGCTCCAGAGCCTAATCTGCTGGGAGAGCCAAAGCAGTGCTGAGACACTGGGCAAACCCCTTTTCCTGGGCCTGTTCCTACTCTGCTGTGACAGAGCTCAATGTTACAGGCATAGGGCAGACCCACACAGGAGCTCCCCATGCACTCCAGGTCACAAATCCTCAGGGCAGGAAGGATCTCAGCAATCACAACACATACACATGGGGGGCAGCTCCTGTGCAGCTTTCACAGCCATCTCTGTGTTCCTTTTCAGGGTCATTCCATATCACCTGGGAATTTGGCCTGTTTCTTCATGTTAAAGATAAATAATTCAGGCACTGTGTCTTTAGCTCTCCAAAGCACAATCAGTTCTCCATCATCTAGAGTGCACAGGATGAGCTGGGTAATGGAAATCCTCACCTGGTGCTGCACAGCAAGGAGAGCAAGGGAAAGGCAAGGCCAGAAGGTAAGGGCTGCCTCCCATCGCCCTCTGAGGCAGCAGCTCTGCATGATGCTGGAAGCTGCTGCCTTTACACCTTTCTTTCACTGTGCTCAGTGGATTGCAGGTGCTGGCGCTTCTGGCAGGTTTTGCTTTCACTGAATGGGCTAAATTGGGAGCTGCTGAATAAGCAACATTAAAGTAGGAGAACTGCTGCTTATGATGTGCTGTGATCAGGAAAAACAGGAAGTGTTTGCTCCGTAGCCACACTCTGATGGTTTATTAAACATGAATAGTTTCATAAGCTGTGCACTGAAATTAGAGCAGCGCTTTGGCTGGTGCTGTACATCACTGACGAACCTGGCCCTGCTGCAAACCGTTAATATTTTAATTAAACAGGATAGAAAGGGCAGCAGATGTGCGAAGGTGAAATGGTGCGTCAAAAGCACCAGAGCTGGAGAAACTCCCCCCCGCCCCCCAGCTTCCTGCTCTGCCCCATCACCAAGCTGTGCTCGGCCGGTGTTGTGTCCCTGTTCTTCCGCCTCTTCAAAGGTGCAGAAGAAATACTTGGCTCAATTCCAGGCTGTGTTTTTTCATACAGCAGCTCCCTACCTTTTACCTTTCAAGTGATTGAGGTGTATATCTATGGATTTGCATGAGCTAAAAGTGGCTTTGATGATGTGTCTGACGAACAAGGAAGGGCAGTGGTAACCTCGAAGAAATGTGTCCTACAGAAATCTTTGGGAGATGCCTGGCAGTGGCATAACAAGCCAATCTGCCAGCCCTGCTGAATCCTCTCACCTCCAGGTGGTAATTGCATTTGTGTTATCACTGACCAACACCATCATCATTGTATCCTTACTGCTATATGGCTTAGCTATTCCTTGAGTTTGGGAAGCTCTGATCATTTTAGTTCGTTGAAAACCCTGACTTTATGGGTCAAGCTAACGCTTGCAGATATCAGTGCAATGACTGTGTGAGCTGCCTCCTCACTTAGCGTTTCAGACCAGGATGGATTTATGCTACCTTGTACGTCTGTGGGAGGTGTTCAGACACATACTCCTGGGCTGCTCTCCCTGATCAATCTACTTAAATCATTAAAACTCTGGGCTCAATGAATGCAGATGCAGAGCTGTAGGAGGGCACTCTGAGCTGGAATTGCTCCATTGACTGAAACTGTTGGGAGATGTTTCTTCAGGTTCAGACCTTTGAATGAGGTGGGACTTGGGACGATCACGACAATCTTTGGCCTAAATCTGTGCAGACATAAAGCTTACTAATTCCAATCAAATGAAACCATCCTCATATTTCAAAGACTCACAGAACTGACTGGGGAAGATGGGGAATTGCAGAACATTCATCAGGCAAAGTCTGGTTCGGGGAACGGGTTCATTTTTAATAAAGTTAAGTGTGCATGCACTTACAAGATTGAGTTAACACAGCCATGAACAGTTTATTTAAAGATGTACTGCCTAACACAGATTTCTGGTGCCTTAATGATCTCTTCCTAATATTGCTGTTATAAATACTTCCATGATTCACATCTCCTGTTGCAGAACAGGCAGCGAATCTCCAGGAAGGAAGTACAGAACTGGATTTTTTTATTATTTTTTTTTTCTGCAAGATATTCCTTGGAGTTCTATTATAACTCCAATTTGTGCCAGAAAGTCATTCACAGGAAATGTATAAAAAATAGCCAATAAGAATGGCTTTATTTTTCAAGTGCTGGCAGTGGAAAAATGCACCTCTGAAAACCTCCCCTGGGATGTTTCCTGGTCTTTGTGTTGCTGTACTTCTGTGAGACACTGCTGGTGTCACACCAGAGAGCAGCAGCTTCCATCAGTCTCCTCCCGTAGGGCTTTGCCAGCTGTGTTTATCCTTGTGAGTGTAAGGGATCCTCTAAATGAAAGGATCAGGTAGGAGGCTGGAAGCAACCTCTTCCCAGCTCCTCATTAATAGCGGCAACCGTTGCCAGAGGACATTGTGGAGCCCGAAAGCATAACCGTGTTCAGAGAGGGATTAGACAAATTCCTGAATGGCATTTGCCTGGGAGGCTGTTAAACCTGATAATCTCAATGCAAACCTCCTGTTGGGGATGGCACTGAGCCACGGTTTGCCAGGGACAGGAGAGCACTGAGGATGGAGTGAGTGCTGTGCTGAGTGTTGTGTCCTTGCTGTGTTGTGCCACAGCCTCTGCTGGCCTCGCCAGCCCTGCAGTTCTGGTTGCAGCTCTGCACTGCCAGCAAATGGCAACAGGAGCCCCGCTGCTGAGCACACACAAAATGTGACGTGCTAACAGCAAGAGAGGGAAAGCTGTGACTTTTCCTTCAGCTGTTCCTTGGAATATTTCTGGAGGAGCTGAGCTCCCTCTTGCCAGGTCACTTCCATCAGGTGATGTGCAGAATGCTGCCTTGTCCACCTAGAATGGAAAGAAAGAGAAGTGATTTCTTGCACTCCTATTGAGTTTTATTTAAATGATATTCATTACTGAAGAAAGAATCATGGGAAAATCCAAGCTGCATCGCTAAAAGAGAAATATCCCTGAATCTCACTGCACAAGCCATCCCATCGAGTACCTGACAATTAACCACACTGATTGAGCACCGAGCTCACTTCAGAAGGAGCTGTGGCTCTGAGATGACAAGGACAGTGTTGTTCCAACTGCAGCCCAGAGCAGCAGTGACCCCGTGCATGCATGTTCTGGTCAGGGAGGAGATGGTACAGAGAAAGGAAGGAGAAAACAAGGAGAAGGAAAGGAAAAGGGGAGGAGAAAGGAACGAGAAAGGAAAGATGCCCTGTTGGGGCCATCAGCAGCTCACAGCTCTCCCTTCTTGGTGCCATATGTGTAGCTCTGTACACCTATGTACAAAAATGCAAATATTTATTAAGAGCAAGAATTGCAATCCAGGTAACCACATGGGTTAAACTGAGTTCCAAGCTTTGTAAGCATAACTAACCCGCTATATTTTTATTTAGGAGGGATACAAATCCTGGTTTCTGGAGGTGTGCTGATGCTCACTGCACCTTACCTGCTCCAGATGCTGGATCTGGAGCCCTGGTCCAAATGAGGGTCCCACTGCAGCAGCATGGATCTGCAGGAATGTCCAGCAAGGCAAGTGTCCACCTGGTCCTGTTTTTCCATGGCTCCATTCTCCGGGGGAAACAGTTATGAAGAATAATTAAATGTAAACATATAAAATGGTAGCCAATATTTCATGGTTGCATGACAGCTCAGAATTCATTGCTGTGTGCAATGCAAGCAGGAACATAGGAAAGTCAACTGCACTGCAGTCTTTGCTTCCTACCCACCTGCTGGACTTTTGGCACTGTGTCTGATGGGAATATTTGTTCTCCATGTGGTGACAACATGAATGCCACCATGCCAAGGAAGAGTTCATTGAGCCCCCACAGGTTAGGAGTGGGGCTGCAACGTCTTGCATCCCATCCCATCCCAGCCTTTGTGAGGTTTGGGCTCTGGTTGGAAGTGGTGTGCCATGGTCAACACAGTGTGTACAGCCTGGAAAGATCTTCTCATCAGAGCAACGCCCTTCCTCTTTGTTCCTTTATTTTTTAAATTAGATTGCCCCACTGAACCACCCATTGACCCTGCTTCTCTCCAGATGGGAGACCAGAGAAAGGTTATTTTCAGTCACTGTTTCACATTTAAAAAAAAAATCTGATGAAAAAACATTCTACCTCAGGCATGAACTTTTAATGACTTCATTTCATAATCTTTTCAAAGAAAGATTCCTGTTGAACTAACCGAGACTTTCAGCTCTTTTTGTTGCAGGCTTAAAGAGTTGGCACTGAATGCTGCTCAGTGCTATTTGCTCTGCTCAATTCCCCCTGCAGGTTTTGCTAAACGTTACGGTGTGACACAGTGCAGACTCTTATTGACAGTGATATCATCTGCATATAAGATCCAGCCTCACATGTATGTGAAGAATATATTCCAGCGTGATATGCAGCATGCTTGGTTGGCTGCACTGGAAAGATTTCCAGATAGCTATTGATTTTCCCATCCTGTAATTAGTTCAGAGATTACCAGCATACAAAATATTGCTCTAGAAATTGATTTCTGTAGTTGTTCATTGCACCAAAACTACAGTATCGCTGCGAAACACGTCACCGTGTTTTCTGCAAAGACTTTGAACTTGGGAGAAATATTGCTACCGTAAACACCAAGGAGAAATCACATGGCTGATGATTTTGCCATCTCAGATTAAGCTAAATCCTGCCAGCTGTCTGATTTTGAAAGTTCATCCTTATAGGTCTTGCAGGATCAAGGTCCAAAGGAGAGACTGGCTCTTTTCTTCTTTCTAACTGAGAGCACCCGTGAGGCTAAGAGGTCAAGATCCAAGCAAGCATCAGCTGGTGCTACAGTTCTGCCATGCAGGGACCCTGTTGTGCAGGCAGAGGTGCTCACCATGGAGCATTTGTCATTAATCTGTGCCCTGTGCTCCCTGTCACCCTTTGCCCAGTGCCCCTGTGGAGAGATCCCAGATCCATGAAGCATCCTACATCCTCCATGCATCCCAGCATAGGCAGCACTTAGCTGGGAGCTGTGTGCACCCCTGGGGAATGGAAACTCTTCTGACCCCCCAGTCCACGGAACTATCCTTAGTCACCATCACGATGCAGATGCTGCAATGCTAACAGCCAGCTACCAAAGCTCTCAGACTGCAATCTGCAGCAACACGTTTCCTGGCACTTTGCTCATCTGCTTCCCCACCCCAGCCTCAGTGCTGGTGCTTTGCAAGTTTGGAATTTGCACCCTTTCTGCTGCTGCTGGAGTTATGAGTGCAGTAAATGCCAAGCATGCCAGTGCCTTGTCCTGGACTATACCCTGCTTATCACAGGTAGCTGAGCACTCCATAGAATGCCCCATCAACCATAGCTCCGAACATGCCCCAAAACTTTTTCTCTCCCCTCTCAACCCTACAACTGAGCCCCATGCATCAGGAAGGCAGGCACGATACACCCAGGAGCGTCTCTAATTTACTAATTACTAAGCCATCCTTGCATGTGCCATTTAATTATAAAGAGGAACTTAATCAGCTCAACATCTCGTTCTTCATCCCTGAAGAACAAGATGCTCATTTGCATTTGGCATGTTGGCAGAGGGCAGCAAACTCCACCATCTTCTGTAGTCAGCAAAGAAAGATGTGGGTCCCAGCAGTGTCCTTGTCCCACAGGTCCCTTGCACCCACCACAAGGGTGCACCCCACCACCAGGCTCTTCACAGCTTATCTCCTCAGCTAACTCCTTTCCTAGTTTTAATTCCCTTTCAAGGTGGTAAAGGGAGACAATAGGAAGGGGATGGCAATGCTGGAGCATAGAAAAGCAGAACAGAGTCACAGGAGTGGCCCTGTGTGCGTGGGCTTTCATTTTCCCATTTGCTCACCCAAAACTTTGTGAATAAGGGGCATGGGAAGAAGCAGACTGCTGCCCAAGGGCAGAAGCAAACACACAAATCCCCATCCCTTCAAGACATCCCATGGTACATCCGTCCCCATCTCTGTGTCCCTGCACTGCCCCTACCTGGCAGCCAGAAGCTGCCCCACTGGGCATGCCCTGACTCTGCCAGAGCTGGATTTTCTATCACTGTGCTGCTTCTAAGCAAAATTTTTTTTGCAATTACAGCAAATGAAAGAGGTCTGCTCCCTTCTTGGGAAAGCTGGTCCTTCTCAGCATGGCACCTGGGTGGGTCATGACTCCGTGCTGAGCAATGCAGTGGTGTTACACGCATGGGATGGGATGACTTGCTTATGTAAAACAGAAGAAATTACACCCAGAAGACATTACAACTCAACTTCCTCTTCCAAAGAGGCTGTTATCTCTCTCTGGCTGGGTAATGGCATCTGGGAAACCCCTGCAAAGGCAACGAGGACACAGTTATGGAGGGGTGTCAGGATTATTTCATTCAAGGGCACAAATGTCCCCAGCATTAAACAAACCAGTTGAGTCACTTCTTTACAAAGATTGCAAATTAAAGAGGTTGGGCAGACAGAAAAGCCCCCAAAGTTGCAGTATTTTCCTATTCTGTCAGAGTCAGAAAAATTGGCAGTATAAATGTTCTTGCAGAATCCGTGCAATCCCAAAAGGAAGAAGTCATGGTCAGTCTTAAAAACCCCAAACCACTTAATAACAAAAAAAATAGGCAAATTGGGCAATTTTTGGTTTGGTTGAGAAAGTGTTTCTACTACTTTAGAATTCCCAAACACACTCAGTTCCGGTAGAAGCTCAGGCAATGCCTCAGGAGATGGGAAATGCTGCAGTGAAAGTAAATTTAGCAAAGCATGAATGCCACAGGGCATCCTCTGCGTGCAGCTGCCGGTGTCAGATGGGGCCACAAATTCCCCTCCTGCAAGTGCAGCTGTTGCATCAGCACATTTTTAATCTTTGCAGAAAGAAGCGTTACTGCCGTGAGCATTATGATGCAACAATCCTGGAAGAGAAAGGCATTGGAGAAAAGGAGGAGAAAACAGGGTGTGATTCTTTTGCTCCCAAAGTAATGTTGGGGGGAGGGGGGCCAACTGATTCCCTGGGATGTGGATAGCCAAGAAGTGTTTCACCCCAAGAATACACCTTCAGTTGCACAGGGGAGTTCAGTTGGATGTTAGGAAAAATATATTCTCTGAAAGAGCGGTGCTGCAGTGGCACAGCTGGCACACCAGCCAGGGAGTGGTGGAGTCGTCGTCCCTGGAGGTGTTCAAGCACTGTGGAGATGTGGCACTGAGAGATGTGGGCAGTGGGCACTGTGGGGTGGGCTGGGGCTGGACTTGGCGATCCTGGAGCTCTATTCCAACCAAAATGACCCTATAATTCTGTGATCTAACCTTTGCGTACCTGATTCCTCCTTGGATGAGGGCAGAGGAGTTGACACTGAGGGAATCCCCCAGCAAGCGCTGGTCCTCCACAGCCATGCACTTTTGGGGTTAGCTTGTAACTCGGCTCAACATGCATTTTTAGGGTTATCCACACCGTTTCCAAGGGCAGAGAACGTGCAGGATGTGCCCTCACACCCAAGAGCTGACTTGAGTGCATTCCTAAATTCTTGTCTCCCTCCCTGTATTCCTGTCAGGATAAAGATGGGCAGATTGTTAGACCGGTCTCACTCTCCCATCTAGTGGAGAAACAAGGAAAGGTCGTCCCATTAAAATAAATAAATAAAAATGCAGGTTTCAGTTGCTTTTTGCAGGAAGGGGTGTGGGGAAGGAGGGGGGGGGGGGGGGGGGGGGGTACTGTTCTCACAGTGGGTTCTGTGAATCTGTAGGATTGCCACAGACCTGATGCAGAGGAAAAGGCGTCAAAATGTAAAGAGATCTCTGATCATTCCTTGGATCTGGCAGGGTGTGGGGGTTCCCTGCTCCGGGATAAGGCACAAAGTAGTGCCCTGCAAATCTCTGGATGTGTCCCCACAGAATGCTGGTATCTTGGGATGGAGGCATGCACGTATCCAGCAAAACAGTGCTCTCACCGAGCAGGTGCCAAAAAAAGGCATGCAGCAGGGCTGCATTCTCACACAAGCAACTTCTGACCTTCAAATAACCCTCACTGCTGCTAAGGCCCTGTGCACTGAACAGCCTGCACGGACCGGACAGGAAACCACAGGCATCCTCTGCGTCCTCCCCTCACGTCCCTGCGTGGTCGGGGCTGCAGAGCCCCAGTTCTCAGCAGCAGGAGAACCTTCTGCTCCACAAGATGGCTGTGGGAATGGGGGCTGCTCAGAGCTGTGAGGCAGTGCTTTCTTTCAGCCAGAGCAGGGAGGGAAGACTTGCACCCATCCCATTAAAACTGCACACAGTTACAGCAATTCAGGTGCAAGAAATCCCATTCTTTCTACAAAGAATGAATGGAAAACAAGCCAGGTCCATGGGCAGCAAACAGTGCCATGGGACTGCTGTTCCGAAGACAGGACAGGTGTGGAGCTCAGGTGCTAGCCCTGATATGGGATGCTCCCATTGCATTCTGATCTAGCTGAGACCTGAAAACCTGTCTGGAACTGATGCACACACACTGGAGATTTATGTTCTCATGTCAGATCGAAGATTCGTGGTATTTCCTGGAAGGTTACATGATGTTTCATTTTCAGCAAATAAGGTCAAAAGCACAAGGAGAAAAAAAAAAAGCAATCTCTCAGATCAGCTGTTTGCAAACACCCGCAGCGCAAGCCTGTGTGTTGCTGTTTCTACAAAACTGCTTTCCTGGAGTAGCATGCTGCTGAACCCACACAGCCTGCAGCAGGAGACAGCCTCAGCTGGAACAGAGCCCTGGGACAGGTGTGCTGCTCACCCACATGTTCAGAATGAAAAAGAAGAGGTGCTGGGACATAAGAAATTGGGCAGTCAATGGCGTGCAGCATGGACCCCCAGACACATCTCTCCTTCTGCAGCAATGTCACAGCTAGAGGATCCAAGTGGGATGTCCTGGGATTGCATTTCATCCTGCAAATCTTCCCAGTGGGACGGGCACTGCTCCTACCCTTGAAATCGTGTTTGCAGCTACAGCAAATAAAATAAGGTTAATGAAGAGACACTCTGGTAACACGAAAGCAGAGACAGTGCTACTGCTGTGATGCTTCATCTGAGATGCAGGGAGATAAAGTTCTGCCTCCCACCAGAGCTGTCACCGTGGAAAATTATTTCTTCCTTCTCTAAATGACATGGCATCATTTCTTCTTTTCATTTCCCTGCCAACTTGGTGTCACAGTTTGATTTTTCAGTCATTACCTGACAGTGGTGGTTGCCTCCATCCACTCACCCACCCCCTAAACAGACCTGTAAAAATAGACTCACAAACGAAGAGCAAATAAAGATGGCTCCCAGCACGTGAATAGCTGATGAGAAGCCACTTAGCAGTCTTGGCGGATTCATCAACTTCAGCACATGATCGTTGATTGTGTGTCTGCAGCTCCTTTGTTCTTCTTTGCTCATTATACTCAGGTCAAATGGAATGAGCACAAACCCGTGGCAGAAATGATAAGAGCCAATGGAGATGGCCATAACCATGACCCATCCCAACTGGAAAATTACCGGTTAGGATTTTTTACAGCCCATCAAACGGAGCCATTCCATCCAGCAGTGAGAGGTAGGTCACTGCTAATTACGGGGTGAGAGCCAGTTCTGCACATTGCCCTGTGCCTCTCATTAGCAGCCCAGGCTGGAAG